AATATAATGCAGAGAGCAGTTTCCCATTGTTTCGAATTTGAAAATATTTCTGCAATGGCTCCTTTCTTATGCCATTTATTGGCTGGGAATGAATGCTGAACAGTTTGATGAACTCTTGGCATGTGTACCAAGCTTATTACAGAGAGTCGAAAATCCCCGTTTAGCACTCTGTATTTACATAGTCAAGTTAAGAACTGGGGACAGCAATGAACGATTAAGTTCCCTCTTTCAAATGTCTCGTAGGACCTTGGAGAGAAAAATGAATATAGCTAGAAGTTGTTTAGTTGAAGATTTTGTGTCAAGACATTTGGGCTTTGGTCATGTAAATGTGGAGCAAGTGGCCAGCAGAAATAAAATCCTCCGGGATTATTTTATTTCATTTTTCCGGCAGGATGATGTTTTTATTCTGGATAGGGGGTTTCAGGACGTAATTGAATTTATGGAGGATCTTGGTTTTAAAGCTTACATGCCTGAATCATTATTAGATGGTGAACATCAACTCACTACCCTTCAGGCTAACAAATCTAGATTTGTAACAATGTGTCCCTGGGTGGTTGAAATAGTAAATGGACGTATAAAACGAGATTTTAGATTGTTCAGGCATGTATTTAATAACAGAGCTGCAACTCATTTAAAAGATGATTTAAGAATTGCATGTGCTCTGTTAAATAAGTTTCACCCTTAATACAGGATCCTCCAGAATGAGTCCAATCATTTGGCCGAGTTTGTAGAAACTCAAAATCTTAACAGAAGACGTGCAATGTTTTCTGCAATTGATGGCAATCATCCTCACTTGGAAACCTTTCCAAGTTTAAGCATCACTGATTTAAAACGCTTTGCATTAGGCACTTATCAGTTAAAGCAGGCGCGATCATATTATGGGGAACATATTCGATCGTCTGGGATATATTCCATAGAAATAAATACAGAAATAGATGAAGATGTTCCCCTTGTATTAGGTTTAAACAATTATCTGCTTAGAGGACGTATTAAGTCGAGACACGTTGGTGGACGCACCTATTTTGTTTACATTTTAGTCAGCCGTAACACCAATATAGCCAACTCACTAATTTGTTTAGTTGGCTATTGCTGCAGTTGTATTGTAGGCAAAAGGACAGTAGGATGTTGCGCACACGTAATGACGGTAGTTTGGTACCTTAGCTGGGGGCGATTTAACGATACGCATGCTCCAGCTACATTTTTAGATGAGGTATTTGAAGAAGGTATATAAGTCAATTCTTTTTAAAAAAAAGGCAATATATAAACCAGGGTTAGAGCACGCTTAATGTATAAACTGCTGTGTTAATTGAACTTAGCAGAGCTTTAACTGGATATTTCAAACTCAACAGGACATGGTGGCGAGTTACAAAAGATATTTTAGGCGAAGTCACTACAGTTCCACTGGATACGGCATAACCCCAAAAAATATAAAATAAAAATATCACATTAATAATGTCGATTTGGATAAATGTGTTATCAATAAATGATTATCATTATTAAAATATTTTGTCTTATTTATTTTTGATTCCTAAACCTTAAATAATATTATATCCATTGTTGGGTTAACAGAGCATCAAAGGTGCAGCTTGAGCGTAAAGAGAATAAGTATAAATAGCACTAATATAACCGCACCTCAACAACGCCACATTTATTGAATCTGAGATGTTTGGAATAAATAGAGATAGATAGCAGCTCACCAACGCAACAGTTTACAAATATACGCTGCTCGTTGATAAGATTTTACGAAGTGCATTCAATTTTTGTTTCACTCCCAGTCCAAAATAGAAGACAAAAGGTCACAACCTAATTAAATACAGTTTAAAGTAGTATACCTAGTAATAATTAAGTATGGTATAAGTATCGAATTTAATCGAATCTAAATATGACATAACCTTAAAATGCTTACGTAATTTAATATTTTCTTTGAACCACTACTTAAGTTTCTAATGATATTTTTCCTACGCAATATACACCTGATTCCCTATTGTTGTACACTTATTCCAATAAGACGCAATGAAAAAAACTTAGCCCAACTCCCAAAGTAAAATGACCATTCTCCTTTCATGAGAATCGGGAAAGCCGTTTCGGAGGAGTTTAACCACAAACACCGCGACACGAGAATTTTATATATTAGAGTTAGCTGACATCCTGGATTGACACATAGACTACGTTTTACAGCGGGAAAATTTCCCTAATTATTTGCGAGGCACAGTTAGTAATTATTATAAATGTGAAAATTTCTGTTTCTGTATCTGTAGTTTGCTACTCAACCACGGAAAAACTACTGAATGGATTTGGATGAAATTTGGTGCACATGTAGTTTATGACCTGGATTGTGACATAAGACACTTTTTATCTCGGAAAATATTTAGGTTACGGGGGGATTTCGAAAAAAACTAAAGTTTACACGGACGAAGTCGTTGCTGCTAGTTTGTTTATAATAATAAATGGCAGAACTAATGTTTTGCTTATCGATTCGTCACAGAAGATATGGTTTGTAAAATGTATTCTATATTGTAATAAAAGTATAATTCAAGATTTCATAGGAATAAGTAGCTTATGCTACGATAGAATTGAATAATAAATTATTTTCATTAGAGACCGCATGCCGCAGTCAATCTGTCCCATTTAGCTCATCAAACCTGATCAACCTGAGTCGGTAGTCATTTGGGACCTTGACCACGGGTCCTGATGGGGACATGGAATTAATAAATAATTTTGAGGTGGCATTCGGGACCGAAGCTAGTGGTCCCGAATGACAACTATGTTTCTCGTCACCTCTCGAATATAATCAATGAAAAACAGACTTTTGAGTATTTTTATTAGTTTTTTTTTTTGAGTTTTTTTCTAGTTACACAGCATTTGCTTTATTTTAAATCCACCGTGAAATCTCGTGGGGTGGGGTGCGGTGATATTTTTTAAACATTTTGTTAGGAATGAACTAAGTAGCAGAATATTCCCAGCAAATCAAAGTTACGTTATTTTATAGATTTTGGCGTTGAACTAGAGATTATTTCCGTTTTGTCCTTTTTACAGTTTCGAGTCAAGATATAGTTTCGTTATGTTCGTCTGTAACTTAGGTATCTAAAAGAGTATAAGTACGAAAAAAGTGGTTGGCTATAGGTACGTATCAGTGTTGGGCAAAATGTAATCAACTTCAAATTAACAATTTCAATTACAAGTTGTAATTGGTGACTTTAATTACAAATTATTTGAATTTATTGAAATGTAATTAAATTAACAATTAAAATTAGCAATTGTAATTGTTAATTGCAATTACTTATGTATAATCTCTTTTAAAGATGAAGTAGTATTTTAAATAAAACTATTATATTATTAGAAATAAAATCCACGCGAACCAGGCAGCAGACGGGACGGGTCCTGGTTGGCATGGATTTTTTCTAGTTATATTTTCTTTAGATTTAAACATGAAGCAATTACATGCTAAAAATTAAAACTTTTATATTATTATTTATCAAACGTTTATTTACGAAATAGATCAGATAAAATGTGTTATTTAAAACCACCTTTTTTAAAATTAAGACAGCAAAATGTTTGATTTATGTTAAATTAGACTTTATTACTACTCTTTGTTCAAACATTTGATAAGATTTTAGTAAGTTAATCATTGTATCATATGAGAACAATCAATCGAAATAAAGGTGCACGCCACCGGGAGACTAGAAAAGGGATAGGTAGCTGAGAAGGTACAGGTAACGAGGCACACACTTACACACTCATAAATTCATGGCAAATTATACTCTAAAACTTTGTTTGTGTTGTGCTTGTTGTGCTGCGTACGGGAATTAAGCTAATAACCGCTCAGTTTTAGTAGTTTTTTTGTTACACTTAAAAAGTAATTGAGTAATTTGAATTACAAACTAATGTAATTTAAATTACTTCGGACGTAAGTAATTGAATTACAGTAATTTCAAATACATGTAATTTCTATTAAAGTAATTCATTGAATTAGTAATTAAATTACAAAAGTAATTAATTACGTCCAACACTGGTACGTATTAGTTTTGAGGAAAAAGTGGTAGTTTTGTTTGTCTGGTGTGGTGGCTAAATTCAGCCAACACAACAGGTAAAATTGGTTATTTGCTTCACGTGACAGTCATGCTCACAGACTAGAGTTGTAAATATTCGTGTTTAGAGAACTTAGAGAGCTCTTAGTTAGAGAATAACTGAGCGGTCCCTGTCCAAATAAATTTAAAGTTAAACTAGAAATAATTGTGGCAGGGACAAAGCAATCATGCGGCCAATAGTTCGTATGAGTTAAAAGCTGTCAGTTTTGTGAGAGTATCGCTCAATTCATTTTCTATGTATCACCACGAGCCTACATGTCCCCACAGCTGAGATACAGGCCTTCCTTATGTATGCAATAGGGAGATTGGGCCATGACCCACCACGCGGGCCCAGTGCGTATTGGTAGGTGCTAACGACTGCAGACGCAGACGGGACCAACGGCTTAACGTGCCTTACGAAGCACGGAGGAGCTCGAGATAGTAAATTTTTGGTCACACGTTCCTCCGTGCTTCGGACAGTGAAGACATTAATAGGCTGATGATGACATGGCTCAACGAGTTGGTGACACTGGCACTGTGTGATGATGAAATTTAAAATGTATATTACAAGTTCTGCACTATATTTACTTACCTAAAAGTTGAAAGGCTTTCACTTAACGTGGTAAAAAAAATACATACATAATTCCTAAATAATGATTCCGAGGCCGGTTACCTGATACCGCTATGCGTCACAATTAGGTGTAGTAAACATAATTGGTACGTATTTTATTTACTAACAATAATGTTTTTATATCTGTATATATGTCAGACGTTAGACTATAAGGTATTTATCTATGGGCCTATGTAGCCTGATCATAAATAAATAAATAAAATAATAAGCTATTTTCTGATTTTTATGCGATGTTAATTGTTTTGTAACCCCCACCTGACTTTATCTTACAAAAAAAAATATAAGTAATTCTGGACACTTACACAGCTCTTGCCTTAAGGATCTTCGCATAGTCGTCGTCGCCAACACAGCCAAAGTAGGTGCAAATCTTTGGCTTCTTCAGTATCCACTGGGCAACACGTAATGAATTCTGAACACTACCACCAGCGATAAATTCTGCTTTGTATCTAAAAGTAAAATAAAACTTGCATTGAATACTTAACCTTTGAACACATCCACCCTAGATACCGGTCGCGCGCCATATTAATATAGCGTTGAACAAAACGCGCGCGGAATAGCTACTCACGGCCCACCCGCACACCTCGTTTCCCCCCAAGACATCTTAATTTTTACTTCTACGCAATAACGGTCAGCGCTAGAGTTTCGTGCCGCAAATTATGCCGTATTAACTGCAAGGAAGCGGCCCAAAAAATATCTACTACATAATATTTTTTGTGCCGCATCTACCATATTATGGTTGATATGCTCGTCGCTACACACGCACACATTAGACTGCTTTAGTACAATCTGACATTAGAGTCGCGCACACATTGCGGGAAACATGAGCCGTTTTCTATGCATGATTTATTTGGATTGCTCTATCTTTGCGTCTGAACAATCAAAGCAATAAACATTAAAGACATAGGCGCATTTAATGGGGCACACACAACAATCCGTGTTTTAACAGTGGCCCTATAGAAAGCAGGAAAACGAAAAGAAGTCTTTCAGAAAATTTAATATCAAGTGAGTACCCGTGCTGTTTCCGCTCACAATATTAGCTCGCCACTAAGAATCTCCTACTGAATCAAATGACATGATTTGAGCTATGGAAGGTGACTACCCGGGCACCAGCCAAAGAATTAAGGAACTCATCTAACAGCCACAATGGCAACGTAGCAACACAGCCGTCCTCTACTACAGGGTATAGATGGTGTGCTTTCTACGTGAAACGCTAATTAATTCAATAAATAAGCAGTCAGTTTCCAAACAGAATAGTACCACTCCTCCAGTCATACTTTGGGAATCCTAAACGGCTACTCTGGGAGCACAACAAGAAGGAAACAGGCAACAGCGTTTTATCCCCAAACCTTTGCCCAAAATGTGTTTACCAACCCACTTGATACGCTTGGCAAAGAACTTCCATCTTTTTCTACTGAATATCAAACATTTAATTCCTTTTGGGTAAATTCTTTGCTATGCAGACGGCACAAGATATTACAGTGTATGCGACAAACCAAGGAAAAACGGCAGATTCTAATCATTGAGCTCAATCGGGTTTCTACGAGGTCCAAGAACTTTTACGGATACGCCTTTTGTTCTCCTTAACTCTCTGAAGGGCACAGCACTAGCTGGTTTCTGAGCAGTATCACCATGCTCGGTATCGAGGTTTGCTGTAATTTATTATATATACATATATATATATATATATATATAATATATATATTTTAAACATTAAACTGCTTGATCAATAACGTAAAGGAGTTTTTTTTTCTAATAAAAATTTCTTAAGTTTGCTGTAACTAAAATCAAAGAATAACATCGAAAGTGTGATAAAAATAGCCTCACGAAAATTCGAGGGTCCTGAACGATATGGGGCGTTATTATAAGACTGGCAACTGTGCTTGTTACACAAGGCGTAAGTGTGGTCACTTGTATAATAGGAATTTCTGATAACTCTCTATGTGGAGCCTGCCAAGAGAAGAAGTTGAGAGCTCATGTCTTAATACAATGCGAAGGCGTTGTCAGGCAACGTCCCAAGTAACGGAGGTGGACTTGCAAGATGTGCAGTAGAGACTCCGGATTGGAGGATCTTTAAGAACTACAAAGCGTCATAGGCGTGCATCCGCGTAATCGCCCTCAGCCGCGGTTTGCAGCTCGTGCGTTGTGCCACTAGGACCCCACCAGATACAGTAGATCGATGATCTAATGAAATTCATAGGTAGCTACTGCGTGAACCAATTAATGCGTAGATCTTAGAGCCTTATTTGGCCAAGCAGTGACAATTATTAAACTTTTTTTCGATGACGGGGACTAGAAATGCATTATATCCACGACAATGACCAACGCCACGTTGATTTGCTGTTAATTGCCCCGCGACGCAAGTAATTGCGTGGTGCATTCTATCAGCGGCGAGCAGCCCTTTTTTTTTATTACGCAGGTAAAAATCTTTTTACACTATAGTTCATTCGCGTTAAGAAAATAGTGACTCATCACCGACTGCCGGCCAAGCCACGCCCCCTAGCCAATTAAAACGCTAGAAATTAGTAAGGCGAGTTCACAGTGCTCAGTTGAAGTCAGACCTTCGAACTGATCGGTTGTGTATTTTGCGTACTACTTGTTTATAATTAAATTTGGAAAATGGATATCTCACCTATTAAAAAAAATAAAAGTGGATCAATTATACATAGCGGAGAGAGACGCGTAATTTACAATGTTTATAAATATTTCAAACAGATTGATTTAAATGAGACTGTGGAGAGCATAGTAATTAAAACTGCAAGTGCATGCGGTGTGTCCGAAAACACTGTTTATAAAATTATAAAAGAACAAAAAGAAACGAATACATTGAAATCACCTGTGAAAAAAAGAGCTCGACTATCCACGGTCGATAAATTAGATGAACTAGACAAATGTGCAATAAGGAGAAAAGTACACTCTATATATTTAAATAACGAGTATCCAACATTGGACAAAATAATAACACTTTGCGAAGCTGATGAAGATATTCCTGTTTTCAAACGTACAACACTTCACAAAATACTGCACGAGCTTGGTTTTGACTTCAATAAACAAGATAGTAGAAAATTGTTAGTGGAAAGAGAAGATATTGTTTTATGGAGGCGAAAATATTTAAGACAAATAAAAGAATATAGAAACGCTAATAAAACCATTTACTATCTCGACGAAACGTGGGTAAACGCCGGACACGTAAAAACAAAAGTGTGGTTGGATACAACAATCAAGAATAAAAGACAAGCTTTCCAAGATGGCTTATCAACCGGCCCAAAAGCTCCGACAGGGAAAGGGAAAAGGTTAATTATATTGCACATTGGCAGCGAAAAAGGATTCCTGGAAGATGGTTTACTAGTCTTTGAATCTAAATCTACAAAAGATTATCATGAAGAAATGGATGGTGAAAGATTCCTTAATTGGTTCAATGGTATAATACCGAAGCTTGAACCAGGAAGTGTGGTTGTCATGGATAACGCTCCCTACCATTCGGTAAAAGTTGAAAAAATACCCACGGCCAGTTGGAATAAGCAGCAAATACTAGAGTGGTTGCAAAACAAAGACATATCTATGGATATGAGTTATTTGAAAAAAGAATTATTATTGAAAGTCGCCGAAATCGCCCCACAATATAATAAATATTTAGTAGATGAGACTGCTAAAAACAATGGCATTACAATTCTTCGTCTGCCGCCTTACCATTGTAAATTAAATCCGATTGAAATGGTGTGGGCCCAAATAAAAAATTATATTGCTGCGAATAATACTACATTCAAAATGAGTGACGTAAAAAAAAAATTTTATGACGCAATCGCGTTAGTAGACGCCAATCGGTGGAAGAAATGCTGCGACCACGTGATACGCGAAGAAAATACCATGTGGGGTTTGGATGACGTCATGGAACATGCAGAACAAAATTCATTCGTAATAAATGTAACGGGAGAATCTAGCGATACTGATTAGCGATTTAAGTACTTAGTTTTAAGACAATTTTGTATTTTTTTATTTTAGTACTTATTACGATTAATCCAAATATGTGTTACTCTACTAATATAGCGTTTAAGTTGACATTAAAAATTACCTTAATAGGAATATTTTAACATGTTTAAAATCATTGATACTTTATTATTTTTCTATTAAACTTATTTAATGTTTTGAAAAAAAATGTTTAATTTTTTCTCCATTATGAATACACCCTTACCCTGCAGTTGCACTGATGAGTCACTATTTTCTTAACGCGAATGAACTATAGACGACGCCGAACGGACCTCACACCTGGCTCCCGCAAGTCTTACGGACCCCCCAGTGCCTGACCACCGCGGACCCCGCAACTCTTACGGGCGCTTTACGGCATAATATCTGCTAAAAAAGTCCTGCGAATACCTTCAACACTGAGCGGAGCCGCGGGATCCCCTTGGTGAGGGATATCTCCGCATCCCCGCACCCAACAGCTTCCCGGCCTCGCCGGGGCTCCACGGCAGGGGTCTCCCGAGGTATTGCGGGGACCCCGCAGACGTGCGCAGGTAGGCCCGCGCGTGCGGGCTAAGTACGCGGCCTAGTGCCCACCGTACCGCCCCCCCTCCGTTGCGGAGGGCTTCTTGAGCGTTCCCGTCCAAGCAGCCCTCCGCCGCCCCCCCATTGTAGGACAAAACTACAAGAGGGGGGAACGGCGAGCAGCTCTAGGGCCACTAGTCGGTTCAGGTATACTTTGACATGCGCTCACGCAAGCGTGGCAGACGTTAGAGCGGGAGCACACGATGCGTTGCGGCGGCGCCGGAGCGGTGTCGCTGCGGCGGCTTACATAGAAATATCTGTGGCAAGTCACACGATGCGCTCCGGCGCCGAACCGGACTTACAACCACCGAGACGAGGCGGGGAAGGGTGAATGCGTTGCGACGTCGGAGCGGCACCGCTCAGTTGTTTATGCGACAGACCCGTCTTTCTCAGTGGACACTTTGGGCAATTGCCCAAGGCCCCGCGATCGATAGGCCCACCTCAGATCACAAATACAAAGTCCCTAGTTCCTGTTAGATCTCCAAACGGGGGTAATAGGGGCCCCATTATCCTAATATGACCAGTGCCTCCAATAGGTCAAAGACGGCACTTGTCATAGAGAATGTATGCTGCTGGGTTGCCCGCGGCGCCGCTGCGACGTAACAACGTTGCGGCGTCGCACCGCTCGTGTGCCCACCAATGCGGCGAAATCTTTGCGGTGCTGCGCCACAACGCATCGTGTGTTCGCGCACTTAAACCACCCTGCATCCGACTAGCAGCCCGGCCCGCACCCGCTTCAGCCGATTCTGGGTTTCTCCGTTCACAGCGTCACCCAACTAGTCCCACGAACCGCAGTCCGAGCGGCTAGCCCGCCGACCTGCTCCCGTGCCTACCAGGTAAACCAACTCCCCGCTCTACCCCTCACCCTCCAAGCGAAACTGCGGGATCCAGCTATGGATCATCATTAACCTGAGATGATGATTCATTAATCTAGTTTAAACCCTATATACTAACAACCAAATGAAGCTATTCAATTAATCTACATTTAGTTATCTAATTCTTAAACCAAATACATGAATTATCATGTGTATATTTTCAATTCAATACAGTAACTACATACAACTACATTCCTGTTCTTAATTGATGACATGTTTAGGCAAGATAGTACAGCATCAAACATTTTATTTAATACTGGGGTGTATGACACCTTTATCATTTTTTAATATCTAATTTATGTAGGAGCACTCATTAATCTGTTACTGGCTTAATCATACAAAGATCTACTTCTAAATCACACAATTCAATCTTTATTAATAACACAAATGATTTATTTATTAATTACAAAATACATGAAACTAATATTTCATAGGGTTTAGTTTAGTTTTACCTTCTTTGTGGAGATGATTCATCACACCTGTTATGAATATTACGAAAAGTTAGTTCATTCATTAAAAGATGACAACAATTTCTTTTAAATTTCCATCTCGGTATTAAATGTAAAACTATTAATTAAATATTTTAATAAAAAATCAGGAATAATGTAATTAATATAAAGATAATAGAAAAAAAAATAGTACTCACTTCTCCATCAGCTCCCTGTAAAGAGGCATATGTTTCTCCTCAGCCATAATAGCATCATCCGGATGCATGTCATATTTTTTCAGCAACTCTTCATCAACAATAGCTGAAATGTCTAGCAAAGGGTTCCCAATACCAACAAGTTGGCCTTCTTTAGGAGAGCTACATGAACTGAAAGTTAAAAATCTTAATTAACAATAATTACTATAAATAACAGCATAAAGTTTGCAATCATGTGGTTATACTAAATAACCCAAGTTTTATGGTTCATAAGTAAAGATGAAGGATTTCCTATGAATGGTATTAAGAAAAGATGATAATTATTGTGTAGTGACTGTGTATATTGAAGTACATTGTGACAAATCGGTCAGATCATAAGCTAAACACCTGCCCCTTATTAATAAACAAAGAATAAGCTGTTGAGTAGTTACTCTATGTTTTGTCGCTGTTCATTGAATGACAAATAGGGTAAAACTGTACTTTCAGGGCCCAAAAGGTGATACTTGATTTTTTTTTGTAGAAAAGGTCTTTTTAATAGATTTTTTTTTATGGTCACAACACTAACCTAACCTAGTGTGAAGTATCACCACTTGGGCCCTGGAAGTACAGTTTAGCCACAAATAGAATTACAGTGATGAACAAAACACTGTGTAGCTAGTTTAAGCTTAATTATCGTTAATTATTAAAGGGGCTATAAAGCACTTGTTTTAGAAAAGTTTAAACAATGACTATCTCATAAACATTTAGTACTAAGATAATAAGTAAGTTTTTCTACGTCGGTTTCTACGCGGTAGCACTCAACGAAAACCCATACGACAAGTCCATTCGGTAGGAATCACTTAAATATTTCTGTGGCCTAGTGCGTAAAGGGCCAAAGATAGTTAGTACCTAAACCAGCACTTATTCAAGTTTTTCTTTTCAATTGGCTAAATCAAACGTGTAAATGATGAATTGGTCGGAATGAGCAGCGAATTAACTTACCCGGTATTATCCATTATGTAATAATTATAGAGTAACCAAAAACTGTTACTAACTCTATGCTGTCAACAAGAGTGAACTTGGAATTGAAGATTTATTTTAATAAGGCCACGCAATAATTACCGCATGCCTTCGCTTAAATATAGAAAAACGCGCTATTGACGTAGTATTAGCTGCTACTAAGAAAGACGACCGACAAGACTGACAGATACAGATAGATAGTAGTTAATCAGATAAAACGTCAAAAGAGACTATAATAGTGGTTACTGTTGTCGAAATTGTCTTATCGATATTTTTTTGTTTCATAAGTGTAATTTCTATTTGCTATTCCTGAAATTCCAGCATTCAGCAGCAAACAATAACTAAGTATTTTATTAAATTAGTTTGGTTTCTAATCATTTTTTTATATTTTTGACGTGACAACGTCTTAAATTAGGTTGCGGCTGGGAGTCACTTATGAAAAAGTGTAACGCTCGGTAACGTTACGATGAGTCTCTCGTGTTAAGTTTAAGTTTACATGTACAATGTTTTAGTAAACAAAATATATTTCTATAGTAAAAATTTGTGCAATTCTTATTTTCATTCAATTCCTTGTTCCTATTGTGCAATTTAATTATATTCATATCAATAAATATTCTACCGAGAAAAAGACGTTGTCACGTAAAATCTTCGCCCGTAAAACCGACTTTACAGGCAACCATTTTTTAAATAAGTATTTATATTATTATTACAGTTTATAACTATAGACAGCAAAGGACAACGGCGGCGCAATATTTGTTGAAAGAAACCTTTAGCATCTGTAAGTGTAAATATCAGAAATCTATATAAAAAAAATCGGTTTGTTTTGCTTCAGTTTATGCTTAAACTATATTTGATTATCAATCAGAAAGATCGAATAACATTATGATACAGTATTGTAATAAAATGTTTGTATCTATACATATAATAAAATGGTAGGAAAGTCAAAACTGTACATTGAATATTTTTTTAAAGAATACTTGGGGTGTGATCTACAGTCGATACCGAAGCCAAAAATATAGTTTTTAGAATTTTTGTCTGTATGTGTGTCCGGTATAAACTCAAAAAGTACAGCATGGATTTACTTCAAATTTGGCACGAATATTATTAAAAAGTTGGGTCAACATATAGGCTACATATTATCACGCTATCCTGCATTTCTAACGTACTCCACGCGTACGAAGTCGCGGGTGGCTGCTAGTATTGAAAACGAGCATTTCTACCTAAGTTGTGGCTGTTTATATGTATATCTACGAAAATATACTGTATTTCTATCGATTATGGTCTATATGATCTCAGTGTCATATAGCCTTTATCGATATCGACGACTAAAGGCTATATGACACTGAGCTGTGACATATTCTTTATTAGTTTAGCTATAAACGTCCAACTAATGCACTTTTTGAAGTGATTACTTCATGTGGTGTGGCTTCCCTTCGCCGCTAGTTATCACTTCTGTCGTGTGACGAAACGCACACGGTTTTTTATTACTTTTGTCTAAGAAGATTGTAAGAAAACTTCTTCAAAAATTAGTGGTTCTTATCCCCACGCAAAAAAGACACTGGTGGTCGAGTTGCGGAAACAGCCCGCCGTTCTACTAAGACTAGTGGTTCTTATAATATTAATTACGGACGATACATCCGAACACTTCGACGACTATCAGCAGAATCCAGAATCTCCCTGTCAACTCTCACCGGCCCGACATGATTCAGTCAGCCATACCTGTTTCGCGTCGCGCCATTTAACACTTCCGGTTTTATTTAATTTTATGACGGAATTTTCTTCGTTTAAGATAATCAGCTGTGTCAGCATTTATTTATTAATGGTGTCGATTCTGTCGTGATTCTCTAAATCTAAAATTGGCAAAAGTCTATCCTTGTCATTCCCTATACAGAATGAAAAGGAGAGCCTAATGTTAAAGTGAAGCACTTTGAGTGACTGGTAATAATAAACTTAGGAAGGCCCTTTGCTATTCCATCCATAGGAAAGGTCTGTGCTTCAGCAGTGGCGACATTAATAGGCTAATCATCATCAATAATGATGACCTTTTTTCTCGTTTCTGGATGCCTGGTTTTGTCGGAACAAGTTGCAAAGAATTGTTTTGTTTAAAGATAAAAATAATTATAGGTGCACTGTGATGTTAAATTCCCCTCCACTGCCCTCTTTTCGCTCACTCAGAGCACCGGGGGAACAATAAAAGAAAACCAAAAAAATTAAGATAATGTTATAAGTATATTTTATCCACTTTAGATACCAAAGCATAGGAATTCAGTAGTTTTAAGTTATTGCTTATATAAATCAACAAGTCTAACTATGTTTATTATTTATATAATAACTATGTTTCACTAATTATAAATATCTAAGCTGAATACAGTAGTTCAAAGTTAATGTGTATATAAACCAACAAGTTGTCATGAAAGGTTATAATCATATGGATATCAGACATTCATAACACTTTACCATGTACTTACAATATAATACTTACTAATATATTTTATCCACAAATACCACATAGACTAGACTGAATAAGCTATTTAGTGGATTTCAGAGGTTCTACGGCTCGTTTGATCGATATTGGTGACAAACTTAGTTAATTCTAGTTCTCAGTGAGATAACCAGTTATATAGCTATATGTTTATATATGGAAATGGGTAAGTCGGGGTCCAACCTCGCCTGGTGTTTCCTCTGCACGTTCACCCGGGGTTAGTAGAGAAATACCTTGATTATGATAGGTTAAGCTGTGTATAATCTGTCTGCTGTTACGGCCGGGTTACATAAAACCGGAGAGCGGCTGGCAAATAAACTCCCGCGTCCCTTCTGGTCCGTGTACAGAAAAAAGTCTCCTTTTTAGTCCTCCAGTATTTCTTGAGGGGAACGTACAAGCCTGAAGTTCACATTGAAAAAATGATCAGATATGGGGAAAATACATAGATTACCACATCTGTAGTGGGTGAGGGAGTGAGGGATATTCACGGTCAATGTTTACACTTTAAAATTTGAAAATCAATTCCACGTTCACTAACTTGACAAGAATGATTAGGTATATTTGATGACAAGAATCACTATATTGTGCATAATGCAGTTCAATTAGTGCTAGGAGAATAAATATGAGGTCAGATGATAGCTTACCGTTCGAAATATGAAACTAGCCGTAAGTATTTTGTTTCCTATCACAAGTTACCGCCTTATTATTGCAATCGCCTTGCGAAGGTTCGTGTTCGTCCACCTACGATACAGAATATCAACAGAAAGGTTATTTTCACAGCCCAAACTTGCAAATTATGTAGGAAAAAGAGCCACTCCAATATACCTACGAAACTCAGTTCGGTTAGCGACTCCGCGCTTTTTCCGCCAATATCCTTCGGGATATAAACTTTTCGGATCTATCTCACGGCTCCGACGACAATAATATGCCGTTTATTATACTTTGGGCAGAAGAAAAGATGAAAAGTTAACTGTACCATAAACAGATTGTGAAATTTTAAAAGTTGTTTTGACAATTGCTCATAGATGATAGACGGATCGTCCACTCCCAAACATGTGTCTATGATTTGTTTCCCACTTCAACTGAAGGCAAAGGCCACAGTCAAACAGACAGCCGCCGCATTCGAGACGAACCGAAGAATAAACTCAAAACTATATACCTACGCTCGCCGTAAGCTGAGGAAAAGGGAATACCTACCCAAATCAGCGAGGAAATTCAATTTCGAGTAAAATTCAAAATCGATTAAAAACAGCACCCGATAATGAGGACTCAAATCGATCTGGGAAAGACTATTCAAAATTCAACAACTGTCAAACTCCATCCATTCATCCACGCGCCCCCACAGAGATTCCCCGCCTGATTACTTTTTTTTTTTTTTTTTTATAAGTCTCAAGGCGAATATTTTAGTCGAATAGGAAAATCGACTCTTCCCTCAAGGCTACCAACCCAATCAATGAAGTTTGACAGCTACGCTGACGTAAGCGGTTCGCTATCATAGACAAAACAGCTGTCCTACGTGTGTCAGTGTCACGCTCTGTTTAAAAACAAACACTACAGCACCTGCACGTGTTACAAAAAATCGATATTGACAAGAATATTATCGATAGTAGCTCTACTCTATATGGTGTCCGTGATGCTAGCGTACCCACGATCAATATATGGGTTTTCGTTATGCCATTAAATAGTGCGTAAATAGTGCCAAATTAGTGTAAAAATAAAAAAAATAGTGCCTCTTTAATTTAAGAAATAAAGATCATTTTTACTGTGTACGCTACCATGACGTCAAGCTAGCGTACCCATGGCCGACCCCAAGAACGGCATATATTTAAGCAACGAAATTGACACACAAAAATAGTTCGCAAATAGTGCCCTGGCTTTACAAAATTTCATAATCAATACTCTTAAAGTACCAAAGATATTGAACTAAACATTCTGGCGTCAACCTGGCGTACCCAACTTTTATCGTTATCAGTTCTATATGTATAAATGGTGTGTCAAATAGTGCCTCTAACAGTAAAAGTATTTTATGTGAATCCGCATCACAACAATACATAAAAAGAATCTTAAATTCTAGGAACAAATGTATTGTAGTACAGTTGCACACAAAATTAATTTATGCACTAAGAAATTATCTATATATGTATTTATACTAAAATAAATAGGTACTTTTTATAAAAAGATATTTTATTTCAATTCGAATTCACCAATCATAAATTCATATAAGAATTTCAACCTACCTTACTTACCTACTATACTACGAAAATATTATCACTTCTGTACATGACTGTACTTTATATATAAAAATAATTTAATTGCTTTTTTTATATTGTTTTACTGTGAATTCACATAAAATACTTTTACTGTTAGAGGCACTATTTGACACACTATTTATACATATAGAATTGATAACGATAAAAGTTCATTTTCTATGAGAACTATTATGGGTACGCCAGGTTGACACCAGCTAAGAATGTTTAGTTCAATATCTTTGGTACTTAAAGAGTATTGATTATGAAATTTTGTAAATCCAGGGCACTATTTGCGAACTATTTTTGTGTGTCAATTTCGTTGCTTAAATATATGCTGTTCTTGGGGTCGGCCATGGGTACGCTAGCTTGACGTCATGGTAGCGTACACAGTAAAAATGGTTTTTATTTCTTAAATTAAAGAGGCACTATTTTTTTTATTTTTACACTAATTTGGCACTATTTACGCACTATTTAATGGCATAACGAAAAACCGTATATTGATCGTGGGTACGCTAGCATCACGGACACCTCTATATGTACAATCTGTCAGCTTTTGCGCACGCACCAAACGTCAACAGTAACAGTGACTTTCTGTTTCATAAAAAGTTAACAGCATTGAAATTATGTTTTTTAAGAAGTAATAGTGGTGTGTTGTAGCATAGTCACTTATATGGCATAAAAAAAAAAGTTGACGAGTACGTCATTGCTCCTTTGGCATTAGTTTGTGGTTCGTTCTTTTGCTTGGCATTTTATAACCTATAACCGGCAGAAGAAGATCACGTTTTGCGATCCCGGCCCGAATCTTCGAGAAACAGAGGTCTGAAACTTCTTGGTTGTTGGTATTTTCTATTAATTTTTATCACAAAATGTTGCGTTTGCCTCGTGTTGTTCGCCAAGCTGTTTCATTGCACAAATCACACCAATTTTCAAGATTTTACGCTAAAGATGTGAGGTTTGGTGCTGATGTAAGAGCGCTCATGCTTCAAGGTGTCGATGTCCTAGCCGACGCAGTAGCTGTTACAATGGGCCCCAAGGGCAGAAATGTGATATTGGAACAATCTTGGGGTTCTCCGAAAATAACAAAAGACGGAGTTACAGTTGCCAAAGGAGTGGAACTCAAAGACAAATTCCAGAACATTGGTGCCAAGCTTGTACAAAATGTGGCGAACAACACAAACGAAGAAGCCGGAGACGGTACCACAACAGCCACAGTCCTCGCAAGAGCTATCGCCAAAGAAGGTTTCGAAAAAATCTCAAAGGGGGCTAACCCCATTGAGATCCGAAGGGGTGTCATGATGGCAGTAGACGCCGTGAAAGACAAATTAAAAAGTATGTCGAAACCCGTGACCACACCGGAAGAAATCGCACAAGTAGCAACCATCTCTGCCAACGGCGACACAGCAATTGGGAAACTGATCGCGGACGCCATGAAGAGGGTCGGCCGGGACGGCGTTATCACGGTGAAGGACGGCAAGACGCTCACTGACGAACTCGAAGTTATTGAAGGTATGAAATTCGATAGAGGATATATTTCACCATATTTCATCAACTCATCCAAAGGAGCCAAAGTTGAATTCCAAGATGCTTTAGTTTTGTTTTCTGAGAAAAAAATAAGCAATGTACAGACAATCATCCCTGCTTTGGAGCTAGCTAATCAGCAGAGGAAACCTCTAGTCATAGTTGCTGAAGATGTCGATGGGGAAGCACTGTCAACTTTGGTTGTGAACAGACTAAAAATTGGCCTCCAAGTGGCTGCTGTAAAAGCTCCTGGATTTGGTGATAACCGTAAGTCTACATTGAGTGATATGGCCATTGCTACTGGTGGAGTTGTGTTTGGAGATGATGCTAATCTGATCAAGCTGGAGGATGTACAACCATCAGATCTCGGCCAGGTAGGTGAGGTTGTTATTACAAAGGATGACACACTCTTCTTGAAAGGAAAGGGTAAAAAGACAGACATTGACAGGAGGGCTGAACAGATTCGTGATCAAATTCAGGAGACTACTTCAGAATATGAGAAGGAGAAGCTCCAAGAACGTTTGGCTAGATTGGCATCAGGTGTGGCTGTATTACATGTTGGTGGATCCAGTGAAGTTGAAGTCAACGAGAAAAAGGACAGAGTCAATGATGCCTTGAATGCTACACGTGCTGCCGTTGAAGAAGGTATAGTGCCTGGTGGAGGCTCTGCTCTCCTCCGATGCATTCCTGTTCTCGAGCAACTCTCCACCTCAAATGCTGACCAGGCAACTGGAGTTGAAATTATCAAGAAGGCCCTGCGAATGCCATGCATGACTATTGCACGCAATGCTGGCATTGACGGCTCTGTGGTTGTTGCTAAAGTTGAAGATTTAGGACCTGAGTTTGGATATGATGCTTTGAATAATGAATATGTAAACATGATTGAAAAGGGCATTATTGATCCCACCAAAGTTGTGCGAACAGCACTTACAGATGCCAGTGGAGTTGCTTCATTGTTAACAACAGCCGAAGCAGTTATTTGTGAAATTCCTCAAGAGAAGGAGCCTAATCCCATGGCAGGCATGGGAGGAATGGGTGGCATGGGTGGAATGGGTGGTATGATGTAAGATACAATACTAAAGACAATCATTGCATTTAAAGTGTAAAAATAATGGGACTATTATTAATTTAGTTACATCACCTGTGCTGGTATATGCTGTAATTGGAAATGGTTATGTTAGAATTTGTGGAGTGTATGTCTTTGTAGTTTTCTGTTCAATGATGAGTCTGATTGTGTTACAAATGTAGTAGATTTATTTAGTTTTAATGCTTGCAGCTGCAAGCTTCTGTTATTCCTAATAATAAAATAATATTTTATACTATTTATTCTTATTTAATCCTTTGTCATGTGAAATTTGCAATTTACTTTTAAATTAAAAAGTTGATTCGCCACTATAAGTCATAAAAACTGAAATCAATAGGACTGTTAAAGTATTATGTAACATGGGATTGAAAATTAATGAGATGTGGTCCTCATTATGTCTTTATAACTGTGTAAATGCAACGATAGTCTTTTTTTCATTTGATTAATATCTTCCTACTAGGAACTTAAAACTCATTTTGTTCAAAATTAATTCAGTAATTTTCAAGATTTTTATCCATTTTAAAAAAGGAGGAGGTACACATTTCCTCAGTTTTAATAAATATATTTTTATTGTTGTTATCATAAAATATATCTGAGATGCCTGGACCGATTTTGATGATTCCTTTTTGATTGAAGAAGCTTTTAAAATCTAGTTATAGTAAGTGAATTTTACTAGAAATAATTTAGCTGGGTCCAAGCTTCAGACAAGATTCAAACCTGCGCCTTCCGCTATTTGGGGGGATGCCTTCCAGCCTATAACATGTTATATGTATAACCCTGAATACCAAAAGATCAACCTCAATATCATTTTTCAACTATAGAACTAGCCTATTCTGATGGGATGGGAATGGGCCACAAGCCTTGCCTTTGTATGGTATAGGGAGATTGGACAATGACCCACCACTAGCATGAGGGGGAGGGAGGAAGCGGTGAGCAATACCCGCCCTAGAAATTTCTGCTCACACTAGAATTCTAGTTTCATAAAATTGAAAAATTAACTTCATCATCAACTACTGTTCTGCCTTAAGCCGCTACCCCTCTAGGAAAAATCCCTGCCAACCCCTAATAAAAGTCCTTGGTTTACGCTAACCACTTCAGATGCAGTGGGAATTACGAAGTACAGTAGAGCTCGAAATAATAAATTTTTGGTCACCCATCCGATGAGCGACCATTGCGAAAATCGCTTAACTACCACGATTGCAAGCCGAACGCGCTCACCCCACCACTTGTCCTATCGCTTTCGTAAGTCATAGCTCGCTAAGTATAAGTACTTTAACGAATAAATTCGCGTACTTTGATCTTTCTAATTAAACTTATGTACTCGTAGATTATTATTAATGTTCAACTGATTACGTTATCATTTCAGTTCATACTACTGACCATAGAAACCTGCTATTTGTGTACGACTTGATTATTATAACGAAAACTTAGAGTTATCCAACTTGAAGCTTTCGATATAGGGAAGCATAAGATCATTAAATTAGGAAAGTGTCTATCGAAGTACCGCACGAAAACTTAAGTCCAAAAAAACCTTCCAAGTGCGAATCGGACTCGCCCATGAAGGGTTCCGTAGCAGCAAGTAACATATTAACATAAAACCTGCCCCCCGCGCGCTCTATCGATCGAGCCACGCCCCGCGCGAATAATAATTATTATTTACTTATGCACCTATTACAGATTTATAATTAGAAAATACGGTGTATGCATAACGTTTATGTTCATGAAATTAATGATTTTTTTGATGTGTAACATCTTTCCTCTCGCTTTCCTGCAATTTGTGGGAGTGATTTTGTGAAATGGGTCGGAAGTGTGTAACAGGAAATCGCGAAAGCGCCCGCTATTTGATTTGATTTTAGAATATAATATTCAAATGGCTTATTCCTTTTGTAGTAGGTTTTATTGCTTTTTTCACTAATATAAGGTGAGGTTTCAAATATTGCACATCATACGCGACTACTGTAAGGCTCGCTAGTTTATTTTTAATTTCTATATTTGAGTTGATTGAATGAAAGGTAAATAACGGTTTACGATTTATGACGTATTAATAAAAAACTAATTACAAGATCTCATTCAAGCAGTATCACTAAATGTAACAGTTTTGCAATAAAGAATTATTCTATTCTATTCAAACCAATTTTTGGTGGAAGTTTGCATGGTAACGTACATCATATTTTTTTTGTATTATAATTTCTTATTTTAGACGTTACCAGGGGGGGGGGGGGGGCTCACATTTTACCTCTTTGGAAATGTCTCTCGCGTAAACTATTCAGCTCAGAAAAAAAAATTTAAACCTCGATATGATTCACAGAATATATCTACCTACCAAGTTTCCATAGTATAGTTCATGTAGTTTCGGAAAAAAGTGGCTGTGACAGACGGACGGACATGACGAATCTATAAGGGTTCCGTTTTTTGCAATTTGGCTACGGAACCTTAAAAATAAAACAAAGTTGAATCTTATTAAAATATATAATATTATGTACTATTTATTATAAACATACTTTGTAGGTACAAACATTAGTAAGTATAGCTCTTAACATTGATAACGATAATAATACGAACAGTTTAACATTATAAGTATTGGGGAGCCCAGGCGGGGATTTTGGGATTTCCTCGAGCGTGGCAAAATAACCTAAGGGACGCAACTTTGCACCTTGTGAAGTACTCCCACCATACCTGAGCCCCTTATAACCAAGACTGTCGGTCTAGGTTCGAACGTCGAGGGCATGGGCAGCAAAAAAAATCAATAAATTGGCCATGTCTTTTGGTCGTGACCAAACCTACTGGAGGGTTCACGGAACGTTCCTGTTGACGGAAAAATATTAATCTGCCGGTTTGCATGGTATGGTATGTAGGTGACCGAACGAAGGGGTAGAAAATAGAAAAAAAGGATATTGGAGCGCATCAGACATTGAGAAAGGATGTTACGTGAACCGTCCAGTAGCTGCTAGATGTTCGACCCAACAAAAAGGGCTCAGATAATATGGTGAGGGTACTTCATAAGGTACAATGTTATTCTGCCGTGCTCGAGTATATCCCCACATGGGCTCCCCCTACTTTTATAGTCATTTACAAAAATATCTGATCTTCATCAGAATCTCCAGCACCATACACAAAATGTCTCTTAATTATATTTTCATCTGTGATTGCACTATTTTCACTAGTAATATTGCTGTTTTTACAAGGTGTGACTGGATACCGGACTGGTCCCAACCATTTTCTACTCAGTCCAAAATTCCTAGGCAATGCTACAGTCTTTGTAGACGTACTCGATTTATCTAGACTGTTCAATGATGATTGTATCGACTTTAAAGAAGATTTCTTCATTAGATTGTCGGCATTCAGATAATTATCTGGAAAATCCATGTCAGTTGGAATGCTTAAACTCAACGGCCGTCGCTTAGGTCTGTGGTTTGTTAAATGACCGCGCCACGTATTAAATTTATGGGACGTTGTTTTTTGAGGCGTATTGTCTTGGGAAGAGTATTCGCCAAGATCGGAATGTTCATTTACTTTAATTTCAGAAAAACATTTTTGTAGATTCGTTTTGGTGGGAGTATTTTGACTATTAGATTTATCTTTCATCCGACTTATGACTTTTTCCTTAGTCAATTTTATAAGAGCATATATAGTTTTTAAGGCTTCTTCATTTAAAAGTTCATCATCAGTTATTTCAGCATCTAGAGCACTCGCGATACTCATGCTTTTATGAGGCATTAATTTTGAAGTATTGACCTCTTCAAAATTTCCTGTTGAATGATATTCAACATTTGGCTTGTTTGAGTTTTGTAAAACTATCAACTCTACTTTTTGTGATGCTGATTGCAACATTTCTAAAGCCTTTTCATATTTGACATTTAGAAGAGTTTTGCCATTAACAGAAATGATTTGATCCCCAGGTAATATTTTTTGACATAAATCTGCTGGACTACCTGGTGTGATTGATTTGATGTATACATTTCCATCAGATCCTTCTGCTACTTGTAGACCCAGAGCGTTCATTTTATCCCTTTCCAAAGTGGCTGTTACAAATACTCTTTCTCCTTGAACACAGCCCATGCTGTCTAACTTTTCGAACAAGGAAGCATTCAGACAAGATTCATTATTAATTGCATTGTAGCTGAAAGCTTCTGAATAAACTTTTGGAGATTCTAACACAAAAGCAGTTGAAGTTGGATTCGAAATATTATGATTGTAGTATCTTTCAGGCAGTAGCTTCATACTATTAATGTTACAATTCTGTTTCTGTTCAGAACTCAAATCATCTGAATCACTTTGAGTATTTGCCATATCACATTCTGATCTAAAGCAGGTATTGCCTGGTGATCTGGAATACCTAGTATCCAATTTGGTTTTCATTCCATGGAATACTCTTGTTCCCATTTTTACACCATGTCTTCTTGGCAAACTACAGCTTTCAGATGATGATAAACCTTCATTTGAAGAATTGCCTTGCATAATTGGGGAGGCCACAACATCGTCACTTGACTGTGGGGATGATAAAATTTGCCTGAGTAATTCTTCTGTATTTGGCTTCTCATTTTCCTTATCTTGCATCTTTTTCTCACCAAAAATATCCATTCTGAATCTTCTTCTTGTTGGTCTTCTTACCCTGACAGGATTCCTTACAGCTAAATTATAGCTATCCTGATAATTACTACACACAGTTTTATTTGGTGTCATTTCTTTGTTTAAAGGACAACTTAATTCTTCTGATAAGTAAGTTATAAAATCATCTTTAGCATATAATTTTAGATACAACCTATGATGCAATGATGCCAACCAGTATGTAAAATAGCTTTTATTGTCATTCATTTTTAGTTTGTATTTGACTCCTATCTTTGAAAGCCCTGAATATGAATTAGGTATGATATATAAGCTTTTCTTATTATAGTAGAAAGTATGGATATGATGCCATGGTAAACTTTGTAATACAATGCGGTTACCATTATTTCCAGAGTCATCTGGTAAATTATTATTTCGTGAGTATAAGGTTATACCTCTGGGTCCAATAGATAACCATACATCTCTACAAAAACCATCCCTTGTTGCCCATATTGCTGAATAAAAATGTGACCCATAATCCCTAAACGTTTGAGCCAGTGTTATATAATTGATTATAGCTTTACATCTATCCAAGCCACGTCGAGACTCATGTGCACGTTTCATACGCAGTTTGACATCTGCCATGTTTTCAGATATAATATTTTCGGGTAAATAGTGTTCTAACAGGAAATAATCTGCTGTACCATGTTCTCTGTATGAAAATTCTCCAAACTCAATATGTAATGCATAACCTGTTAACAAAATGAGATTCTGTATTGTTGAGGTCATTTGGCCTTCTACTGTAGCCCTCCGTAGTTGTAAATATACTCTATATCTCCACTCTCCATCTTGTATATTGTTTGATATATTTTTAGGCAAGAAAAATTTTATTCTTAAAAACACAGTTAAGTTTATCTGCTCAAACAACTTGCCCTTTTTGGTACTAGAGGATTTATACCACCCTTCTGGAGCAATTTTTTTTATTTTGTAGTCATCTGGCAAAAATACAAAGTCTCCCCCAATTAGAACAGCTATTCCAAGCATGAAATTATGTTCATACTTCTCACTGTGGATTAAAGCTTCAAATAACTGCCCAGCTGTAATTATGTTTGGATCACATAAAACATTGACATTCTGTCCATTTAAAAGAATTACTTTAACTATCTTTTTTTCTGATAGTGCTGCCAATGTAAGATCTATCTCTTTTGCTGGTTGTGAAGCTCTAATAATAAATTCAGGTCCAACACAACCATCTTTGCCTTTTATACCACTATCGGCTTTGTAAAGTCTCGAAGCAGCTCTTTGAACTGGTTTGCCACGGCGGAAATTTGTGTTTATAACTTTTTTGGTCTTAGGAATGTCATTGTTAACAATAGTATTCAAAGAGACTGAATTGTGTTGTAAAACAGGTTCTTCAATCTGAGTACTACAAGCTATATTTAATGTAGAATGAGCATTACTCAAACCTCCCATTCTAGGCGAGTCAAATATATTATATACAACATTCCTAGATCTGTTTTGTAACCGGCAACTGGGAAATGGGTCTTTTTCTTCTGGTGATTTCAAGAGAACACAGCTTCTTGGGCGTGTACTCACTTTAAGATCTGTGTTTGTAGTGGCTTCTTGAGTTTTAACAGTTTGTCTTCTGTTTATTTGATTTGAGGAATTCACTAATTTTATCTCATGGTAATCTATCACTGGGCTACGGCTAATGGAAGCAGCTGAACAGGAGCTTCGTCCAGAGTCTTCTTCACAACTACGCATTGTGTTCTGCAATGTATTGAATATATCATAAGAAATGGCAAATGTTTATAATAACAGAAGTCCATTCAAACTCCAACTTTTTATTTGTGCTAACTACTAAGTGTTACATTTAATTCAATAAATACAAAACATGTGGACAAAAGGTCAGCTGAAAATTGTACTAAGATTATAAATGTAAGAGTTATGTGTTTCTTACTCAATCACCCAAAAACTACTGAATGGATTTGTATGAAATTTGGGATGTAAATAAGTAATTATTTATTAATATGTAATATTATAAGTGTGAAAGTTTGTATGTTTAATTGTTTGTTACTCAATCACGCAAAAACTACTGAACAGATATGAATGAAATTTGGGACATAGGATTCTTTCTATCCCAGAAAAATGTTAAGTTCCTAAGGGATTTTCAAAAAACTTAAGTTAACGCAGAAGAGTCGCAGGCGGCCGCTAGTAAACAAATACGAATTCATTTGTCAGTTTCTTAACTATGAAGGAAAAACTGTGTTGAGAGCGAATAATATAAATAAAATTGAATGAAATTCAGCCAGTCACTAATGTTTTTCATGGGTATTAGGTATTAGTGTACATGGTTATGCTTTAAAACATAATTTTCTTTGTCAGAATATCTAACAAAATAACGACGTACAATACTATGCAAATATAGTTTGTTTCAGAAAAAACTAGAGATCTTGTACTCACCAATATTTATTAGTTAAAACAAAACTTTAGATCTTTTTGTCAATATGATTCAAAATTATCCAACGGCATATTCGTACCGTACCTTTCTGTTTAAGATTCATTATAAAATACTCAATCTGTCGATTTGTTATTAATTTATTATTAATTCAGTAGGCGTCAAAAATTCAAACTTTCTGTAATTAACAATATACTCTGTGATTCAAACATTAGTCACAAACCACAGAATACGAAACAGACAGACCTCACAAACAACCTAGCAGATGCATCTAGGGTTACTATTTAAAATTTTTAAAAATATCCTGATAAAAAATGGTTGCCTGTAAAGTCGGTTTTACGGGCGAAGATTTTACGTGACAACGTCTTTTTCTCGGTAGAATATTTATTGATATGAATATAATTAAATTGCACAATAGGAACAAGGAATTGAATGAAAATAAGAATTGCACAAATTTTAACTATAGAAATATATTTTGTTTAACATGTAAACTTAAACTTAACACGAGAGACTCATCGTAACGTTACCGAGCGTTACACTTTTTCATAAGTGACTCCCAGCCGCAACCTAATTTAAGACGTTGTCACGTCAAAAAGCCGGACACATCTATAAAAGTCCGGACATTTTAGTCACAAAATGCAAACATCACCCACTTAGTTACAGTGATATGATACGCGTGGTAGCAGACGCTCGCATCGCGAGGGTGGTCTCGTTGTTGATTTTTAAAGATGATTTATATTTTGTTTAAAATTAATGAGAACTTAATAAAGATTATTTGACTTATTTGATATAACTTAATAAGTAGTGTTACTCATATTTCATCCAATTATAAATCCGGACGACTTAAAAAGCTGGATAAAGGCCGGACAAAAGGCAAAAAGTCCGGATAAATCCGGACGGATGGTAACCCTAGATGCATCACGCTAATATTATAAAGGCGAAAGTTTGTGAGTGTGTATGTTTGTTACTTCTTCACGTCTGAACGGCTGGAGCGATTTAAATAAAATTTGGTATGGAGTTAGCTGACACCCTGGATTGACACAGGCTACGTTTTACTGCTCGAAAATATCTCAAATAAACCGCGGGTAACACCGCGCGGCACAGCTAGTAACAGATAAACAGAAAAATCTTTCTCGTCGGTAAAAAGTAAAAATATTCCGAGCAAACAAATTTAGATCGGACCTGGATCTGAGATGAATTACCGAACGCTTCAGATTTACTTATTATGTATGTAATCTAAATGTAATTAACTTACGATTCAGACTAAAAAGGGTGATCAGACGTAAATACCGAATTGCCATTGTGAGTATTTTAGGGAAACCTATATAATGATTGGCTGTCTTGAATTTATTTACGATATCTTTTTATTATTCTTTGATAGACAGTAGTTAATTGATCTCTCTACAATGGCATATTTTTGTAAAAACAAAGCAACCATTTTAAGGGATAAGTTTTTCTAAACACGTTATTTTCTAACTTAATCTTTTTTTTTTTGACAAATTTAGTAATATGTAACCACTGCACAAATAAAAATTGTATTTTACCAGATTTTTACTTAAAACTCAACAAAACATCAAAGTTTTGGTGTTCTAATCTTTAGTACAATCTCTAGTATGGGAGTACAACCATTGGCACGTATGTTAATCACTGAAACGTGTAATATATCTGTTTTGATTTTTTAGGGCGCATACCGAGGACTTGTCCAAAAGTCCATCGTCTGCACAGGTCATTATACATATCTAAGTAAATAGTAAGGTAAATATGATAGAATTAAAAAATATCTCGTGGGCCAATCCTATATATTTGATACTTTTTCTGTTCATTTTCATATTTTTTAGTAGATAATAATAATGAACTGTTTAAAATCATCTTATTTTAGCAATCATACCCTATTTAACTGCATTGTGGCACTAAGTTCAATCGAAAAACTAGTAATCAATTTACTACAGCCAAACAAATGAAGAATTCCGCTTAAGGGTCTACTCGAAGTCTATGCTAGTATAGACTTTGATTGGGCCCTTAAGCGGAATTCTGCTAAATAAACCCAAAATGGAGTGTAACAACGGCAATTGCCGTGTAAATGGCTAAGGTAGACTATGTAATGATTGGGCTCAGCGAAATTAGTCTACCCTAGCCATTTACACGGTAATTGTCATTGTTGCATGGCATTTTCAATATTATTATCTACTAAAAAATATGAAAATGAACAGAAAAAGTATCAAATATATAGAATTGGCCCACGAGATACAATAATTGGCCCTCACGTATGTCAGTGATTGGCCCTCTGGATATTTTTTAATTCTATCATATTTACCTTACTATTTACTTAGATATGTATAATGACCTGTTCAAACGATGGACTTTTGGACAAACTCAAACTCAAACTCAAAATATCTTTATTTAAATGGACTTTGCTAAGTACTTTTAAATCGTCAATAAATTAATATATTATATAATTATTTCACTTAAATACCTAATTATTATGCTGATTTGTCGCCAAAAAAAAACTCCACAGCTTACAATTTCGTACTGATCTTACAACATCATTTTCACAAGTCCTCGGTATGCGCCCTAAAAAAATCAAAACAGATATATTACACGTTTCAGTGATTAGTATACGTGCTAATGGTTGTACTCCCATACTAGAGATTGTACTAAAGATTAGAACACCAAAACTTTGATGTTTTGTTGAGTTTTAGGTAAAAATCTGGTAAAATACAATTTTTATTTGTGCAGTGGTTACATATTACTAAATTTGTCAAAAAAAAAAAGATTAAGTTAGAAAATAACGTGTTTAGAAAAACTTATCTCTTCAAATGGTTGCTTTGTTTTTACAAAAATATGCCATTGTAGAGAGATCAATTAACTACTGTCTATCAAAGAATAATAAAAAGATATCGTAAATAAATTCAAGACAGCCAATCATTATATAGGTTTCCCTAAAATACTCACAATGGCAATTCGGTATTTACGTCTGATCACCCTTTTTAGTCTGAATCGTAAGTTAATTACATTTAGGTTACATACATAATAAGTAAATCTGAAGCGTTCGGTAATTCATCTCAGATCCAGGTCCGATCTAAATTTGTTTGCTCGGAATATTTTTACTTTTTACCGACGAGAAAGATTTTTCTGTTTATCTGTTACTAGCTGTGCCACGCGGTGTTACCCGCGGTTTATTTGAGATATTTTTCGAGCAGTAAAACGTAGCCTATATCAATCCAGGGTGTCAGCTAACTCCATACCAAATTTTATTAAAATCGCTCCAGCCGTTCAGACGTGAAGAAGTAACAAACAGACACTTTTTCGTGCCTGCAGTCGTTGTTCATCGATTTATAATTGATTTAATTTATATTTTTCAAGTTTGCACGTCAAAAATATGTACTAAATTGAACAAAGTCTAATAAATTTTGCATGCGATAAGAAATTTGTATAATGACTGTGTAGAATATTGTTTTTAAATCATCTTTAATCTTGAAATACATAAAAATTTACACGGTTATTTAGCAGTTTTTATTCCAAAACATGCCAATCCAGTTCCCAAAACACGGCAACTTAAAATTTTGAAATGGCAACCCTGACTGTCAAAGTCAAAATGAAGGCATAAGGACAAAGAAAATGTATCCATTGCCAATTATAAAAAAAAAGTGGAAATGACAGCAGTATGACGACAACTTTTGATTTGACGTCGTACACACTGGGACGGCAAGAAAGTTGATTTTGAATTTATTAAGATGTTTTGAATTCGCAATAATAAAATTAATTTCTTTTTAAAGAATGGCTACGCTTATTCAATCATACGAACAACAATATTCAGTTCTCACAGCTGATATAACTGCTAAAATTGGACGTTTAAAATCAAGCAATGAAGGTAGTTCTTTCTTGTAGAATATTTCTGGTAAAATTATCTAACCAACACTGAAACATTTATAACTTTCAACTCCTTTCTTAATTTACTGAAAACCTGTAAATCTTAATAGTACTGAATTGTTAAAGTGGATAGTTTAAACAAATATTATCATTGGTGTGTTTTTAGATAGTTTTAATAAATTCATTTTGAATAGCCTGCAGTGGATATGCCACATGAAAAATAAATATTTTTTGTATTTATCTTACAGAAAACCGAGAGCAGTTGTCTAGGGAGATACAAGCAAATTTTGAAGAAGCAAATGATTTGGTAATTATTTCAAATTTTCCATATTCATACTTATAATAGTCTTGTTATAAATATATAATATTAGTCCAATCCCCATCACTTTAATTTATGAACAATACAAAAATATAGCAATGTTAAAAAGCAGCCTAGTCTTATCAACTAAATACATGTATAAAGTAACTTAAATATTAAAAAGCATTATATTACAGCTGGGTTTGTGTTGTAAATTAACCAGGCACAGTTAAGCCAGAACATTTGTAGGATCATGAGTCAAATCTCGCTAGAAAAGAGCTATTATTACTGGAGTAATAAAGGTGTAAATAACACTTATTGTTTTTATAATATAAACACGATGTAATGTATACAGTTTATGAATATACAAACCCTTAATATCATTCACCTTAACTTAAGTATTTTAATTTTTTAGGTAGTAGGTACAGTTAGGTTTGTTGATTATGAGTAGGTAAAAGTGAAAAACACACAAGATATAATACACATAAAATAATGTTATAACACAAAGAGGTACAGAAGGTCTGTAGACTTTAAATAAATAATAAAAAAAGGAACAAAAATCTTAAGTACATATTTTGAGAATTCTACAGAAACCTATTTTTTTCCAGGGAAATTGTTTTGCATGATTGTGTAGAAAACAAACTTACATCAATAATACTAGTAGGATTCTAGTAAACAAAATGTGGTCGACTAATTAATTATGATATTTTATTTCAACTTTAAATATTGCAAGTAGTTGAGGTTTACATTCATTCATTAATGACATACATATACACACAAGAAAATCCAACTTTCTCCTCTTTATAATATTAGTATAGATAAATCTTTCCTCTTTATAATATTAGTATAGATAACATGTTAAAACGCATACTTTAATAAAGGTTTTCATACCTTCTTTATCCCTTATTAAAGTATGTTAAATTGTATATTTATAACTAGCGTTTTTTTTGCATGTCACATGTCTATATCGAAGTCAAACAGTTTATAGTTACTATATACACACCAAACATCCAAATCCATTCAGTTGTTTTGTTTTAAAATTATGACTTTAATTGCTATTTCTTCTTTTATTCTTTTAAATGTTTAATACTTGTAAAGGTATTCATTTGATATTGTGGGTTACATATAATGCGAAGAGATGGCGCTGCTTTGCAGCTTAAGAAATGCTAGAAAGAATTAGATACGGCCGTCAGGGCCGCGGTAGCATAATTGATCACTGCATTCGCCCGGATAGCGAAGGGTGCGGTTTCGATTCCTGTTTACTGCCAGGTCTGCGTGGATTTTTTTCTAATCATAAACATTACTTATTTACAATACATTTCTTTCTGTTGCCAATTCTTCACCCAGTTTCCGTTGTTACGGTAACATATTTTTTGATAACACTGGGACCATCAGCAACGCGTGTGTTTAGCTCAATATACGCCCGAACACTGAATAGCAGGCATGTGTTTAGAGACAAGCCGATATTGGGCCGACCGCCGTGCACCCTAGATTGTTCCTGCGGCAGGCATGTCAGTAACACGTTTAAAGCTGTGCATGGGTACGACTGGAGAGCCAATCAGCGCAACGCACGCCCGCCCGCGCACCTCGTTTCCCCCTAAGACATCTTCATTTTTACTTCTGCACAATATCGGTCAGCGCTAAAGTTTCATGCCGCTTCTTATATGTGTGTTTATGTAGTTGGAGCAGCTGGAGTTAGAGTCCAGAAGCGCGGGCGGCGCATCCCGAGTGGCGGCGTACCGCGCCGAGTTGCAGCGAGTGCGCGACGAGTACCGATCAGTAGTCGCTGCTAATTCCACGGGCTGTAAGTAGTTAGTCATTCTCAACGATATTAATTACCCTAGATACACCACGTTCGCTCAAAATGTGTCCCAATCAAGAAGTGCTTGAACAGGACTTCTTAGTTCACAGTCATGCGCGGACCGTTGAAAAGTCTAGATGCAGTAAAAAAAGGAGAAATATTACTAATAGAACGTAAAGTTTTTTCGACAGGTATCTAATCAATGTTTGTTAATTTAACACATTTGAAGGAAATTTTGTTTTAATACTTACTATAAACTTATTTAATATAAAATATTTGTGATATTCAAATGCATGGTCGGTTATATAGCCGTCTCTTTTCCTTGCGGTCCGTACCTGCTATATTGCTAATAGCGCATTCAGAATAGTGCGTAGAGTCAATTAAATAAGGTCTATATTCTTCCGCATACAGCAGGAAGTCGTAAAATTTACAAGCTTGCATTTCGAACTGTCATTATTCTGACACATGCGTTTCAATAAAGACCATAAACAGTATGCAATTAAGGTGACTTTCAATGTTTAAATAATGCCTTATATTGTTTTTGACAACGCGATCATCTTATGGAGTTCCGTGGATCGTCCAATGTACTTTTGGACAGGTTTCGGCCACGATTTTGTTTGTGTTGTTGTCGTTGGCCATTCTGTAAGTTAGAAGCTAATATTTTGACCATGGGAGGTCCCCGGACTGTGTGTTATTGGACATATTATATTGTAGACTGAAGGAGCAAATATCTTCACCATGGAAGGTAAATTGTGTGTGCGGAGGTAAATTATCTGTTTAATTTTTGGTGATTGTTGACTGCATAAAATTGTCACATAAAGACAATTTTATGTGCCAATGTACATTAAAAGAGGCAAGGTGTTGGCTGAGCTTGTATGTTTTTGTAGGTAATAATTTATCAATGGCACCTATATTTTTGATTCTTGGTACAGACAGACAGTCATTACAGCACCTTCAAAAGATCATCAGGATTTTAAAAAAGGACAATACCTAAATCTTCCTCCCTAGTACGAGCACCGCGATATGATATGGTTTTTAATGTAAGGTCGTAAATAAACACATTATTTTGCGCTTACATTGTAAACGCTGGCTGAACCCTACGAGATAGATCAAAATAATGTACTGCAGTATTGTAACCGCTGGCTGAACCCTAAGAGATAGATCAAAATAATGTACTACAGTATTGTACCCCTTAAAAAGGTCTACAAAAAAGTCCGCGATGGTATATTTCTATATCTTAAGGATAAGCCACAATAACCATTTTTTATTCTATACTTTTTACGAGAAATAATAGCTTATTTACGAAGCGATTTTCAGCAATATAACATTCATCCTTAACCAATTAAGTACCTTAAATACATTGTGTATTTAATACAGATCAATTTGGCCCTTTAAAGCATGTAATTCAAATGAACAATTTTGAAGATATTACAGATTTAAAATACAGGGACATAGCTGTTCCGACGCTACCGGGCGGGGGGCCTGGCGGCGCGTGCCTATTGTAATTAGATATAAGAAGAATGTCATTGTGTATAATACAAGCCTGAGAACAAAAACTATAGTCTACACTTCAGCTCTACACCGAAGCGAAGCGAGGGCGAGCCACTAGTACAATATAAATTCAAATAGTTTTTATATTCATAATTATTAAATAGTATTTCGATAGTTCACCGTTCACGAGTATGACGCGTGAACCAGCCATCGCTTCGCTCAATCACATTTTAGAGCAACCTTATCATTTCTAATTCGTTGTCCTACAGACAATGTGGACACAGAGGAAGTGTACGACGAGTGGAGCGCGAACGAGCAGCGTCAGAAGCTGCTGGACAACACGGAACGACTGGAGCGCACCGGCAAGAATCTATCGGAAGGGTACCGGGTCGCTATAGAAGCGGAGCAGACGGGCGCCGCCGTGCTGCAGGAGCTCAGCGGGCAGAGGGAGACCATACAGCGAGCCAGGTCCAGGGTGAGTTGATGATAACAAACCAACCGGTAAGAATCTAGTGAAGCGGTACCGGGTCACAATCGAGGCGGGACAGTCAGGAGCTCAGTGTATAAAGGCAGACCATACAGCGAACCAGGTCCAGGGTGAGTTGATGATAACAAACCAACCGGTAAGAATCTAGTGAAGCGGTACCGGGTCACAATCGAGGCGGGACAGTCAGGAGCTCAGTGTATAAAGGCAGACCATACAGCGAACCAGGTCCAGGGTGAGTTGATGATAACAAACCAACCGGTAAGAATCTAGTGAAGCGGTACCGGGTCACAATCGAGGCGGGACAGTCAGGAGCTCAGTGTATAAAGGCAGACCATACAGCGAACCAGGTCCAGGGTGAGTTGATGATAACAAACCAACCGGCAAGAATCTAGTGAAGCGGTACCGGGTCACAATCGAGGCGGGACAGTCAGGAGCTCAGTGTATAAAGGCAGACCATACAGCGAACCAGGTCCAGGGTGAGTTGATGATAACAAACCAACCGGTAAGAATCTAGTGAAGCGGTACCGGGTCACAATCGAGGCGGGACAGTCAGGAGCTCAGTGTATAAAGGCAGACCATACAGCGAACCAGGTCCAGGGTGAGTTGATGATAACAAACCAACCGGCAAGAATCTAGTGAAGCGGTACCGGGTCACAATCGAGGCGGGACAGTCAGGAGCTCAGTGTATAAAGGCAGACCATACAGCGAACCAGGTCCAGGGTGAGTTGATGATAACAAACCAACCGGCAAGAATCTAGTGAAGCGGTACCGGGTCACAATCGAGGCGGGACAGTCAGGAGCTCAGTGTATAAAGGCAGACCATACAGCGAACCAGGTCCAGGGTGAGTTGATGATAACAAACCAACCGGTAAGAATCTAGTGAAGCGGTACCGGGTCACAATCGAGGCGGGACAGTCAGGAGCTCAGTGTATAAAGGCAGACCATACAGCGAACCAGGTCCAGGGTGAGTTGATGATAACAAACCAACCGGCAAGAATCTAGCGGAGCGGTACCGGGTCACCATCGAGGCGGGACAGTCAGGAGCTCAGTGTATAAAGGCAGACCATACAGCGAGCCAGGTCCAGGGTGAGTTGATGATAACAACACAATTAAATTAGTATTTATGTTGCAAAAATAATAATAGTAATTTCGCTGCCGATTTATGCCTGTGTGGTTGTCGTCCACCAGTTGCGCGAGACCGACGAGCAGCTGACCCGGTCGGGGCGGTTGATTACGCGCATGGTGTCGCGCATAACAACCTGGTAGACGAAATGTAGACGTATTTCCAAATCTCTTATCTATTAGACAAGTCCGTCCATCCGTCCGTGGTGCTGTTTCAGCGGCCAAACCGTAAGAGATAGATATAGAGAATGTTTAAGTTATAAGTTAAGATATAGAGAATGTTTAAGTTATAAGTTAAGATATAGAGAATGTTTAAGTTATAAGTTAAGAATAGTCTGATAAGACTACAAACCGGATGTGAGTAACGTAGCACTTCCGGTTTTCGAGAAATCACGTGATTTCTATTTCAAACGAAACCACACAAAATCTCCGAAGTTCCCAATTTTTGGTGAACATTTGGTTCACTGGTTTGCTAGTTAAATATAAGTTGATAACTTTGGTACGATTGTTTTCTTCATGTGCCCACTGGGAAAGACGGGTCCTGCTACGGAGGTCGTCAAATAATAGTTATATCCGTTGTCGTCCACCAGTTGCGCGAGACCGACGAGCAGCTGACCCGGTCGGGGCGCCTGATCACGCGCATGGTGTCGCGCGCGCTACAGGATCGGTTCGCGCTCGCGCTCGTGTTCGCGGCGCTCGCGTTGCTCACTTGCACCGGCCTCTATTTCTCTGTTACCTAACCGATTACACCGTCACGACACGATTCCAATAGTCGGTGGCGGCGCTAGGCGTCGGCGACGTCGGCCACCGCCGAATGCCTCGCGCCTGAGGGGCCTCGCAAAAAAAAATTTACAAGTTACATATTTATTTTCGCTTCTCCTGGCCTGGCTTAGGAAGGCGACCCCGAACAATTCGGGGAAAAAGCTAAGCGGATGATAATGACTTTTATTATTTTCTAACACGTGCGTGATGGAAGCGAGTAGTACTTTACGGGTATTCAGAATCGTCTGTCTGGCAACACTATTTTTGTAATTAAATTTCTATGTTTGTAATTATTTTTTGTCATCATTTGATTATCAACAATGAAACGTTATTTTATAATATGGCTCACTTAATTTAACGGTTTTTTACTGCGAAGTAAAATAGGCCTCGCGAACTTGATGTCGCCGACGTCCACATGCGGTCTAGCGCCGCCACTGCCAATAGTGTCCTATACTTGTCCGTCACCTAACCGGCCATAACACCACGTTACGGTGCGACTAGGGTTACCATCCGTTCGGATTAGTCCGGACTTTTGGACTATAGCCCGGAATTTGTCCGGTTTTTTTAAATTACATTTTGTAGGAATAACAAAAGTACATATTGATTTAAATACCATACCATTGTAACTGAGTGAGTAATGGTACCATTTTGTGACTAAAAAGTCCGGGCTTTTTTCTAAATGTCAGGATTTATGTCAGGACTTTTGGAATTCCGAAACGGTAACCCTAGGTGCGACAAAGATCTTGTGATGCGTGGCCAAAATTGGAACTAATTTTAGGAAGGAAAATATAAGACTATTATTAAAAAAAGCCTTCCTCCCCCTTTAAGAGTAATTGTAAATTATAAAATTCGCTTTACTGAGAAGATTTTACGTAGTAATAATGTTCATTTCACTATTTATTGACGTGACAACGTCTTAAATTAGGTTGCGGCTGGGAGTCACTTATGAAAAAGTGTAACGCTCGGTAACGTTACGATGAGTCTCTCGTGTTAAGTTTAAGTTTACATGTACAATGTTTTAGTAAACAAAATATATTTCTATAGTTAAAATTTGTGCAATTCTTATTTTCATTCAATTCCTTGTTCCTATTGTGCAATTTAATTATATTCATATCAATAAATATTCTACCGAGAAAAAGACGTTGTCACGTAAAATCTTCGCCCGTAAAACCGACTTTACAGGCAACCATTTTTTACCGGCAGCGCCCCCTGTCAATGTCATCTAATTCCATAAGATCTTGTTCGCACTGTACATTCGTGTACCCTTAGCACGAACCAATATCGAATTCGTATCGAATGCGAGTACAAAATGTCGTTCTCGAATATGTTCTAGTTACGTACTTTGTGGCGCTGCTGTTCAAGTTTTCATACAAAATTTGACATTGACATTTCGGACTCGCAAACGATTCGAATTCGATATTGGTTCGTGCTAGGGGTACTGTACTTTTCCGTCATCTAACCGACCATAACACGATAACACGACGTTTTCCATTAGTTTCCAATGCTTCTCAGTCACCTAACCCATCACACTGCCCCACAACATCACATATAACACTCCACATTAGTGGTGCACCCATAGATAGGACTATCGATGATCATGTCTTCTTTTTGCAACCACTCTTTACAGGCTCCCAAACTAACTTGTTAAAAAGTGTTGCTACAAGATTGTTATCGATAGCAAAAAAAATCGATACATACCTAAATTGAAAATTGACTACTTACGTTCACATTTCGGATTTTTGTGTTTAACTAATATAGATAATCTCTATAATCGGAAATATAAGTATTAGTAAAATTAATATTGGGGTCTATCAATAGTATGTTTCTTTTGCTATCGACATTATGAATATTATCGATTGTCATCTGTCTGTCTGTCTGTATTATCGATTGTTGTCTGTCATATAGTGCAACACTAGTTTACATTCAGTCCATTCGCGCGGCAACTAACTTAATTGCTAGTTAAGTGTGAATTGCATGTCGTAATCGCCTATAATTAAAGTTTCACTAATAAAGTGTCGTACTATAAATGTATAAATAATAAATGTCTAAGTGTAACTTTGTTGGTGATCAAATAAATAAATAAACTATTACCGGGCAAGGACAATCTTAGTACTTAAACATAGTTTTTCTTTTCTTTCAGCTTTAATGCTAGCTCTTCACACGGTTGTTCATATTTATTTGTACATTTGACAGCCGTAAATACTTATCATGCTTTATAGAAATTTAACAATTTACAAATTGCAAATTACGAATATTGATGTGAACTGCTAGCATAAAGATGTAAAAGTTAAGAATATTCTCAATAGCCGTCGTCAGCATATTATATATAAAAAAACAATGAATTTTCAAAAAATTCAACTATAGAATATTTTACCGTTCTCATTATACTCCAATCAAGAGTGGGCTTTAAAAAACAATTAGAAAGTTGCCTTTGAAGTTTTGCAGTAAACGTTATTGTATTAGGCATTCCTTATTGTAAATAATGTTTGTATATAAAATCTAGCGGGCTTATACAGCCCAGATTCATTATGGTTTGAAAAAATGTTTTCTTAGCATAAATTTGTGGCTGGGAAAAAATTTGATGTAACCCTGTCATTCTGACTTGATTGTCTGAACTTAAAACAAAATTTAATATCAGTCTCTCCTTTTCATTCTGTATAGAAAATGACAAGGAGACACTGTTGTCAAATTTAATTTTAGGTTTATGCCAGAATCTACAGCACTATCTATCCATTATTACCCTAAAGTGGAGATAGGGGTGACGACGGGGTAAAGTAAACGAAATTCTAGGTATTAAGTCCGTCAGTTAGATGATCAAAAAATAATGGACACGTATTTTTTCTTTGGGCAATCATACCAAAAAATTACAAAGATAAAGCGCGTCAAAGTTAGGGAGTAAGGGCTCGTGACGTCACTCTTAAGTGAAAATTGTACAAAATCGTGACGTCATGCGACTTTTCAAATCAATATGTCTCTGCAATGTTTATATTATGTTAAGAAAGAAAAAATACCTGTTCAATACTTTTTGATAATCTACCTGATAAACGTAGAAAAAAATTAGTCGTCATCCCTATTATACCTATTAAAATTAAATAAGGGAATCAGAATGTCTGTGAAATTGTCTAGTATTTACTAAGTATGGTGTTTGTTATAATTCCTAAACTTACACTTCGCATGGGTATTAATAAATTTACCAGCAGTCTCCTATTAGATCACCTTTAAGAGCTTGTTTAAGAATTTAAGGATAAACTGATGTCCCAATTACAATTACGAATAGCCACGTGAAGTATTAGTGGGTTTTCATTTGCCCGGGGGTTGCAAGCAAAATTTTGCCGCCATTTTATCCGGCACAATCTCCTCCCCCCACAAGATTTGAAGGTAGTCTGTGAATTTGACAGCTTGAGCTCATCTACAACCAACTGACAAACAGATTTTTGTTTTCTTCTGCGGCAAGCGACCATATTTTCTTCGGAAAACACATGCGCTTTATCTCAATCTTTAAAGGTGAAAGAAGAAAGAAAGAAAGGTGTGAAGTTTTCTTTGCTCGCATAGAACATGATATATGAGACTCCTACCCGCTCACTTCACCGAGCCTTTGAGCTAGGCGAAACAGCCTGGGGGCCATTCGCCATTCTTTTGGAAAACGCCAACGCTTTCGATTTCATTTTGTTATTTCTGACCGCCGAAGGTTTTCAAATACATCACGCTCATTTTCTTTAATTTTTATAACAAATGAAAGAAAGAAAAAAAAAGAGCGCGAGGCATTTGAAACCTTCAGGCGGCAAGAAATAACAAAATGAAATTGTAAGCGTTAGCGTTTTCCATAGCATTTCCGTTAGGCGAATGGCCCTCTGGTAGACGAAATGTAGACGTATTTCCAAATTTAATATAAGTTGATAACTTTGGTACGATTGTTTTCTTTGTTATATTTGTATATAATGGAATAGAGGCAACATATTGTAATAATAAATACACTTTGATGGATCAAAGCATGTACAAGTAAGATTTATTGTACTTTAATGTAATATTATACAAGCTATTAATAATATATGAAAGATCAACACGTTTTCTTATTAATATAAAATCATACATTCACATCACTAAACAAAAACTATAAAAGGGTGTATTCCGAAATATAAACCAGTACGCTGTTTCAGTGGTAATGACGTCATGATTTCGACGCCATATTGCACTGGTGTAGTAGTAGTGTTGTCAATATGGCGTCGAAATCATGACGTCATTACCACTGGCTAGCGTACTGGTGTTTGATTCGGAATACACCCTATAAAATCTACTCAAATTACCTTATCTTACACTTATTGCCACAGTTATAATAGCTTATTCCAGTGTTCATGCATTAGTTAAGAGAATGTAATTATTTATTTATTATGATAAATATACGCGTATTAATATATTATGAGACTGTTATGTAGGTTAATAAGTTTAAGTAGATGAATGTAATATTTACTTGTGCTATATTTAAAATGAAAATAAATCGTGGCTCTAAACTTGAATGAATTTTATTTATGACTTCCTCTTTAAACTAATAATAAGTTAGTAAACAATGCGAATGCGAATAAGGCTAGAGAAAATTCGAGAGTGGTAGCATAATGGTCAGTGCATTCCTCCGGATAGCGAAGGGTGCGGGTTCGAGTCCCGCCTGCTGCATGGTCCCCGTGGAATTTTTTCTTAATTTTTGATTCAAACATCCAGCACTAATTTGCTTAAAAATATATATAATAAGTTAGTGGTGTCTATTCTGGCACGATTCTCTAAAGCTAAACTTAAATTTGACAACAGTGTATCCTTGTCATTCTCTATACAGAATAAAAAGGACAGACTGATGTTAAATTTAGTTTTAAGTTTAGAGAATCCTGCCAGAATTGCATAATATCCATCGATGCATTTCGGAAGAAGTATCTTAGTGGCGTTATTATAAAGCAGCTGTGGATCACTAAATAGCTCGGTGATTATAACTTCCATCTGTCAAAAGCAGTTAGCGAAAAGGCCCTATTACGCCCTTTATGTAGGGCCTAACCCCTAGGGCAGCAAAAAAATAATCAAACGCCTTCTAAGCCTGAGGAGGAGAGAATTTGGGCGCGAAAAGGACATGAATATTTAAGCCGATGTTATTGCACTTTCACCATTACGCCGCACTGTATAAAGGTCGTATTAGAATTGACCGCACCACTCGGCCATCATTATGGTCATCCACGTCGCATCATCATAATTAAGGTAAATCACACTAATATTATAAAGGCGAAAGTTTGTGAGTGTGTATGTTTGTTACTTCTTCACATCTAAACGGCTGGAGCGATTTGAATAAAATTTGGTATGGAGTTAGCTGACAGTGCTGACACCTTGGATTTACACATAGGCTACGTTTTACAGCGGGAAAATATCCCTAATACAGCGCGGGTAACAGCAAGTAAATAATATAAGCAAACAAAAAAGTTTATTACGATACCACATTTGTTGTACACCAACCAGTCCCCGTAGTATGAGCACCACAATTTACATTATATCACGTTTTTTATCGCGTCTAACTGTCAAACTCCATAGTAATTTGACAATTGAGCGTGATGAAAACGCGTTATATATCATATCGAGGTGCTCATGCTAGGGGGGCAGGGTGGGTTTCTTCTATTATGTGTTTAACACCTGTACCAGAAGAAACTTCCAAAGCATCATATATATATCTTATGGTAAGGTCTTAATTTTATTTCATTGGATTTTTAAAACATTATAAAAAAATAAATTATAATTTATACTAGTGGCCCGCCCTCGTTTCGCTTCGGTGTAGAGCTGTAGTGTAAACTATAGTTTTTGTTCTCAGGCTTGTGCTATAAAGAATGACTTTATTTATATAATTACACGTGTAATTGTGAGTCAACCATAAAAGATAGACATATGCTGTTGCGAGATATTTTTTAGACAATTTTATGTAGAATATTTCCGTCATACATGATTTCTATGTAACTTTAACCATTAAGGCTGCACCCACGACGGAAGCTTAAAAAATGGAGTAACTTCTCCCGTTTTCCCAACATTTCCCGTCACTACTCTGCTGCTATTCATTGTAGCGTGATGAAAAGTATACTATAGCCTGCCCAGGAGTATGAAGAATAATTGTACCAAGTTTCGTTAAAATCCGTTAAGTAGTTTTTGTTTCTATAAGGAACATACACACAGACAGACAGACAGACAAAAATTTTACTGATTGTATTTTTGGCATCAGTATCGATCACTAATCACCCCCTGATAGTTATTTTAAAAATATATTTCATGTACAGAATTGACATCTCTACAGATTTATTATAAGTATAGATAAGCGGTTGAGTGTGTGTATGTGTGTGTGCGTATTCGTATGTGCGTGAGTGTGACGAGTGTACGTGAGTATGTGTGTACAAATGCTCTTTTTATCCGCTAGTAAGTAAGATTAAGAAGGCTCACAGTTTCATCATAATCCAAGGTCTTGAGCCATGCTATCAGTTTGAGCTTGCACTCCCGGTAAGTTAAAGGATAAATATAAATAATAATAATATATAAATAATATAATATTATCCTTTTAGAGGAAAGGATAATAATACATATCTCCCAGCTGTTGTAAGAAAGAGAGATAATGAAAAGAGAAGGAAATATAAAATATATTAATCCGTTTATTCATATATTACACAATCATTGTCATTCAACTAAGCAACAATATAACCTCCTATCCAGTACAAACAAAAATGTATCGAGAAAAGCACACCTATCGTATTTATTTAAATTAACAATATTTTTATGATTTACAATATGTAGCCTATAATGTAAAAAAATAACATTTCTATTATGTTTAAGGTGCCACAAACTTCTTTCTAATGCGTTATTAGAAAAATACATACATTTGTAATGGTTTTATAACAACACATGAAGCGGAAATAGCTATATTGAACCTTACAGGCTATGCCTTGACAAGAAATTATCAACACAAGTTACAAATAAGGTCATAATGGCTGATAAACAGTTAAATACGGCTATTTTTCTGAAAAGTCATTTACCAAATTAAAGTTTAGAGAAATCCTTTTAAGGTTTATAGAAAATTTGGACACCTCATTGTATATTTTCATTAAAATAAACGGCATGTATTTGAAGTTTAACAAATAAAGATATTTATTGTACATAAAAGTTATATATTATTATACACAATACTCATCATATCTCATATCAATATATTTTAAATCAATGTGAAAATAAAATCAATAAAACACTAAAGAATCGCACACATTTAATTTCGAATATTCATTTTCAGTCGCCTTTTAATTTTATTTTTGACGTCGACTTTTTTCAATGCAAAGTTATACCTAAATAAATAATTGCACGTCTTTTCGTCTGACCTTTTTAAGTAAAGTAGCTATACATAAAGATTGAACGATGTTCACGGTCAAAAATTCATGCTTTCTAAAAATTTTAGAAAAATACTACAGAATATTAAGCGGTTTAAAGAACAAATTTTAAATATAAAGAAAATTTTACTAAAAAAAAACTACATGGTCCAGGCAGTAGACGGGACTCGAACCCGCACCTTCCGCTACCCGGGCGGATGCATTGACCAATGAGGAGGAGGAAGATCTAGGAGAATTCAGATTTATAGGGCTAAATGGATACCATAAAATACAGTGGTAAAATTTTCTACGACTAAAATTGACGAAGTGTTGACCAAAGTACTGTGACTGTGACGTCACAGAGCTCTAGCACTCGGGCGCGAGCGTGCGTAGAAACGCTACTTAAGTTCGATCGGAGTCAACCACGATCGAGCTCTGTGACGTCACACGTTTCGGCCGCCGGTGAATATTGGCTACCATAAAATTAGTTAAAAAATCGCAACGAATGAACCAATGTCGATGATATAAAAAAGTATATAAATTAAAAAGCTTCTTAGATCATTATAATGTTGATTTAGTGTTGATTTGCTGACCTAGTAATGCTCCTCATTGGCCAGCATAATTGTGCTACCGCAACCTTAAGGACCATGTCGAACTTCTTCTAGTAGTTCTTAGGCTGCAACGCTGAGAAGAAATTCGACACGATCAATAAGTTTACTTAAAATTTTAATACGAAGTCGAGGGAAACAAATAGTATTATTGTGAATGCCAAATTATTTACACATCTGTAAAGTGACTCTGAACAGATTCAGACGAAATTTTGTAAAGAATTTGAACCATTTTTTGAGTAAGACTCGGAGAAAAGCAACATGCGCTGCCTTTTGTCACGAAAATAATATCGTAGGTAGGGATTTAAACAGGGTTGTATGGGTAACCAAATATTCTGCACAAACCATCTAATCAATTGTTAAATCAAAATTCGCAACACAGATTGCGGTATGATAGTGTATTACGTCAAATTCTGATCGGAAGGCGCCTCTTCTACCGCTTGGCCGAGTGACATCAGCCGCATCTTGTATTCGTTCAGCTTTGCGTCCTGTAGACAAGTTAATCTAATATATAAAATTCTCATGTCGCGGTGTTTGTGGTTAAACTTCTCCGAAACGGCTTTCCCGATTCTCATGAAATTTTGTGTGCATATTGGGTAGGTCTGAGAATCGGACAACATCTATTTTTCATCCCCCTAAATGTTAAGGGTAATTCACCACTTTTTTTTTTTTATTTTAGTTTTTTTTTTAATTTTTTTATGATACATCATACAAAAATACATACAACCCTAAATTTTCACATTTCTACCACCAACCCCTATTTTTTATGGCGGTACGAAGTTCGCTGGGTCAGCTAGTAATCTTTATATATATAATTTTTCTGTGAGTGTGTATGTCACTGAACTTCTCTTAAACGACTAGACCGATTTTGATGAAATTTTTTGTGTGTGTTCAAGGGGATCTGAGAATGGTTTAGATTCACAATTTTGTCCGCTGGACAACCCCTATTTTTTTAGGGCGGTACGAAGTTCGCTGGGTCAGCTAGTCATATATATTTTGAAGAATTTAGCTGCTAGATATTTAAATCTAAAGAAAACTGTACTAGAAAATTCCACGCGGACCAGGCAACAGACGGGACTCGAACCCGCACCCTTCGCTGTCCGGGCGGATGCACTGATGATGACTGTCTGGTCCACTGGTCTGTCACGTAGAATTTTTTCTAGTAAAATTTTGTTGAAGTTATCATTATCATCATCAACCTATTAATGTCCACACTGGTGGTGCACAGGCCTTCCATGACTCACCGCCACATTGGTCCATGACCCACCACGTGTCACAATGCTAATGACTGCAGCCGGGACCAACAGGTTAACGTGCCTTCCGAAGTACGAAGGAGCTCGAGATAGTAAATTTTTGGTCACCCATCCAATGACCGACCACTACGAAAGTTGCTTAACTTCAATGATCGCAGCCGAACGCGCTAACCACTTGCGCCATCGAGCTCCTCCTTGTAAGTTATAATTATTAATAACTTTTAAGTTAACCTCTAATTATATTGATGCATAGCTCTTGTCTGCTTGTACCTGCTACTATGCGGCGCCATTTAAGTTTACGTAATGCTTATATATTTTTTTTAAAGCATGTAACTGCTTGATGTTTAAATCTAAAGAAAATATAACTAGAAAAAAATCCACGCGGACCAGGCAGCAGACGGGACTCGAACCCGCACCCTTCGCAATCCGGGCGAATGCACTTACCAATTATGCGACCGCGGCCCTCATGGACCGCGTCTAGCCATTCTTAAGCTGCAAGGCAGCCTCATCTCTTCGCATTATAGGTAACCCACAATGTCAAATGAATACTTTTACAAGTATTAAACATTTGAAGAAGAAGAAGAAATAGCAATTATAGTTATATTTTTTTATTTTTTTAAAGCATGTAACTGCTTTATGTTTAAATCTAAAGAAAATATAATATATTACGTAATGCTTTTCAGACTGATATCTTTTGCTTTACAGCCAAGAATATTAAAACTAAAATTTTTAACTGTGAAGAACCTTACAAATATTATAAAATCTATTTGTATGATCTTAAAGGTCTAAAATGTTTTGGTGGCGAGTCTACATTCTGCTTAAAATTAATTTTAGCTAATCATTTCTAGACTCATAATGCGTTTTTGTATATAAACATCATATCATGCGTTTTTGTATACAGTCAAAACCGAATATAATGACATCGTTTATAACGACACGTCGGTTATTACGACCAATTGGCAAGGTCCAGACCGAAACCCTATTAAACCCTTAAGTAAAAAAACCGCCAAAAACAACACCGGATATAGCGAAATACCGCTTAAAACGACTTATAGCCAATGAATATTGATAAAGTTCATATCGATATTCATCGGCTATAACGACAAACCATTTTACTTGTTCCACAAAAACAAAATGCACCGTAGGTACTTCCTTTTCCCGATATTTTATACGAAAACAAGCATATACTCATTACCTATACTACATACATACATATGACCATAATATGATTACTTTTGTATATTGCATATAACAACTACCGGACATAACGTCCGAAGTTATATGGTCCCTTCAATGTCGTTATATCCGGTTTCCACTGTATATTAAAGCTGCAACGGCTAATGTGTATTTGGCAAAATCTTACCTGATCAGCGAGTAATTCAAGGAGATCGTCCTGGTCCTTCCTCAATTTTTCCAACTCGTCCGCCGCCATCTTGTGCGCCTCCCGTGACGTCACCAGCTCCTGACCCAACCTCGATACTTCTGCAGTCAACTCTTGGATCCTAGCCTCGTGCTCCTTCACTTTGACGTCTTCCCTTGGCACTTGCTGGCTCTGGTTCGGCAACGAGTTGACGGCTGACACTTGCGCCTTTAGTAATGTGTTCTCGTCTTTCAAATGCGAGTTCGACGCTGTCGCGTCGTTCAGGGCACTCTGAAATGTTATATGTATGTTTTAATTTAAATTAGCATCAAAACCCTTTGATTGTATAAATTGTTTATATTGTGGCAGTTTTTTTTTATGAGTAATTTTATTATATACTGTACTCTGTATGTTGATTAGGGAGCAAATATATATAAATTGGACATTTATATTGTGTTTATGGTCGATTTTGGTTCTGCAATTGGATACAGATCCAAAACCGCCGCTATGTGTTTATACTTTTGGTCGATGTGGCAGTTATGTACCATTTACGCGCTTAAGTTGTGACACTATTGTGTCCGACATGCTTGACGGATTTGCAAGTGGATTTTTCACTCTTTATTGTTTCCATTAAATTGTATGGTTGGATTTTATATAGTCCACAGTAATTTTCATACTCAGATCTGGTGGAGTGGAGTATAGGGCAGTCTTTTAGGATGTGTGTGATGTCCTGTTTAGTGTGGTTATCACATGGGCAACAATCATCGGGTGTTATTTTATATTTGTGCAGATAGGCCTTGTGGTAACCGTGGCCCGAGAGAATTTGTGTGACAGAAAAAGAAATATTGTGGCTGTTTGAAATATTACATGATGTTCGCTTCAAAGTCTCCCCTTGATTATATTTTTTAATATATGACATATATTGGTAGAGTTTTTATATGAAAGTGTTGACATGTTATTGAATGGATTCAAAATAAATTTATTTTTGAATCACTATCATTATGGACCTACGAAAACAAGAAAAAATATTAAAAGCAACATTTATAAATAAAAATATGAGTCGTATGAGCGTCTTGTACTGCAGCAGGCGTAGTGTAGTGTAGTGTAGTGTAGTGTAGTGTAGTGTAGTGTAGTGTAGTGTAGTGTACGGTGCGGGTGTAGTATAGTGCCCCACCCACCTGCAGCTGCTGGTTCCGCTGCAGCAGCGCGTCGAGCTGCGCGGTGAGCTCGTGCAGGCGCGCGTCCTGCTGCCGTATGAGCGTCTTGTACTGCAGCAGGTGTAGTGTAGTGTAGTGTAGTGTAGTGTAGTGTACGGTGCGGGTGTAGTATAGTGCCCCACCCACCTGCAGCTGCTGGTTCCGCTGCAGCAGCGCGTCGAGCTGCGCGGTGAGCTCGTGCAGGCGCGCGTCCTGCTGCCGTATGAGCGTCTTGTACTGCAGCAGGTGTAGTGTAGTGTAGTGTAGTGTAGTGTAGTGTACGGTGCGGGTGTAGTATAGTGCCCCACCCACCTGCAGCTGCTGGTTCCGCTGCAGCAGCGCGTCGAGCTGCGCGGTGAGCTCGTGCAGGCGCGCGTCCTGCTGCCGTATGAGCGTCTTGTACTGCAGCAGGTGTAGTGTAGTGTAGTGTAGTGTAGTGTAGTGTACGGTGCGGGTGTAGTATAGTGCCCCACCCACCTGCAGCTGCTGGTTCCGCTGCAGCAGCGCGTCGAGCTGCGCGGTGAGCTCGTGCAGGCGCGCGTCCTGCTGCCGTATGAGCGTCTTGTACTGCAGCAGGTGTAGTGTAGTGTAGTGTAGTGTAGTGTAGTGTACGGTGCGGGTGTAGTATAGTGCCCCACCCACCTGCAGCTGCTGGTTCCGCTGCAGCAGCGCGTCGAGCTGCGCGGTGAGCTCGTGCAGGCGCGCGTCCTGCTGCCGTATGAGCGTCTTGTACTGCAGCAGGTGTAGTGTAGTGTAGTGTAGTGTAGTGTAGTGTACGGTGCGGGTGTAGTATAGTGCCCCACCCACCTGCAGCTGCTGGTTCCGCTGCAGCAGCGCGTCGAGCTGCGCGGTGAGCTCGTGCAGGCGCGCGTCCTGCTGCCGTATGAGCGTCTTGTACTGCAGCAGGGAGTCCCCCGCGGGACTGCCGCGGTCGCTGCCGCTGTCCGCGACTCCGTTCTCCTGCTTCACCGCCAGACTTTGCGTTATTACACCTGCGAAACTTTTATTTGTTTAACACTCTGCCTATCTTTCTTCACGCTGCAGGTTAGGCAGGGAACATAGAGAACTACGGAAATGTTTAACACTCATATTGAATTTATTTTTTACTAGCTGTGCCCCTCGGTGTTACCCGCGGTTTATTAGGAATATCTTCCAGCAGTAAAACGTAGCTTATGTGTTAATCAAGGGTGTCAGCTAACTCCATACCAAATTTTATTAAAATCTCTCCAGCTGTTTAGATGTGAAGAAGTAACAAACATACACACTCACAAACTTTTGCCTTTATAATATTAGTGTGATATTTTCACGCACACCGATCGTATAGAAAAACACCTTTGAACGGGTACATGGTGCTTCGCCGCGTTATAGCATATTACAAGAACTTATAACATTCCCGGGTTATAAAAAATATCCTGTTTAAATCTAAAGAAAAGTTTTTAATAGGAAAAATAGTAATAATAGACGGGACTCGAACCCGCACCCTTAAATCTAAAGAAAAGTTTTTAGATTTAAACAGCTTTTAAGGATAGGAAAATTTCAACGCGCATTCGCCCGGATTGCGAAGGGTGCGGGTTCGAGTCCCATCTGCTACCTGGTCCGCGTGGATGTTTTCCTACCAAAAACTTTTCTTTAGATTTAAACATCTAGCAGTTAAATGCTTAAAAATATCCTGTGTCTATCCGGGTAAACCGTTTTGAGAAGTACAATTGTTCCATAAAAAGTTCAGTGTTGCGTTCAAAAAGTATACTTATGAATACTCGAAATTTAAGTTCCGTTACACATTTGAGTACGGTCTGTAACAGGTATTCAGAAAACGCGACAATCGAGCTCGCCAACTTGTGTGCCTCCAAATTCACATCGGCTTAAGTGGCAGACCATTTGAATCAATTTCTCTGCTATTAACTCCATGTTTCAAACGCAGCTCATGAATATTAACCACGGAGAAAACTCTTGGCGGTACCAGCATCAAACTACCATGGAATAACATACTACTATCTGGGAGCTCTTTTGTGAAATACCTACATTGTCCCCAATATCCCCATTGCTGGGCACAAGCCTTCTCTTGGACGGGTTAGAGAGATTGGATTATGCAATAACTCATCATTCGGACCCAGCGCGAATTGGTGTGCTAACGAGTGCAGATGCAGTCAGGAACATATCTTTCGGAGCAAGAAGAAGCTTGAGATGATAAATTTTTGGTCATCCATCCTCCAAAAAATACAAAATTAAAAGTGTCAATTTTACAAAACTCACTTTCCAATGAGTAGTTCTCGACCGAATCATCGTTGAACTGTATGCAGATAAAGAATAGGAAGGCTGACAGGCCTTGTAGTAGGTATTCACTAACCACTGTGCCTACACCATCCTTCAAAGAAATATATAAACAAAAGCACAACTCATACTCACTTTCCAAAGACTTGAATAGTCTGCAGAACTCGTAATCGATCATGATCTCCGCAGGCGATTTAACTCTCAACTGGGGATGCTTCGCCGCCTTGTTATACGACTCATGTTTCGTGACTTCGCTCAGCTTAGCCGTGAACGTTTCCATGCCTATCCTCTTCAACAACAGTTGTTTCAGCGAATCTTTGGAGTAGTTCTCGACGGAATCGTCGTTGAAGTGTATGCAGATGGAGAGTAGGAAGGCTGAGAGACCCTGTAGCAGGTACTCGTTGTCGTCGTGGTCGTTGGAGCAGGTCTGGTTGACGAGGTACCCGACGCCGCCCGGCACCTTGAGGAATGCGCTCACGGCCGCGGGGCAATGGCTCATCCACTGCGATAGGAGCATCAGTAGCGCCACCTGTGGATAAAAAAATGGGTGCGTGTACTTATGTAGGCGCGTGAGAAGTTATCTTTCTTTGGCATCGTTTAAAATTAGTTTTTAATTGCATGCAAATAATTAATTACAATAAATTAATAAAAAGTCTGGAAAAGGACACAGTCAATAAAGTTCAGTTTTAATTTGAAAAAATAAATAAATAATCAAAATATTCAATTAAAATCGCTACTGAATATAATTTATTAGAACATATGTGATTTGCACTTGTATGAAACTCAAACACGTATTCCGAATATACAAACTAGAAACATGTGGATAAATATTATAAATATGAATACCTATAACTGTTACTTTATTACAAAAAATAAAGATGTGGTTTTTGGTTCTACTACACCAATGGTCAAGAGATGGCGCTGTAGTCTCCTGAATCGCGCTTTGGTTCCGTTGTTCCAGATTAATAAATACTTTTGATAGGCCTTCACAATGCAGTCGTTAGCACCCACAAAATAGAGATTCTATTTCTATTTTGTTGGTAGATTTTCTTAATGTGCGGTAAACACAAAAGTAACAGCATGAAGTTGGTCGCTAAAGCTAAAGCGACCAACTTCATGCTGTTAATTTTTTGTGTTACAGTGATGCGCGCGCATCTTAAAATTTCACTCTCATCATTTTTTCATAACGCGCCTAAAAAAGTATAACTTCAAAAATCCACTTAACTATTAACAAATACGTTACTCAATATTTATTGCAACCAATAGGGACGATGACGGGGTAAAGTATACTCTATTAAGTCCGTCAGTTAGATTATCAAATATGTATATTATAAGTAGATTATCAAATATAAAATAATGGACACGTAGGTATTTTTTCGTTTGTCAATCAACCAAAAACTTACAAAGATAAATTGTGTGTGTCAGCTCCGACGCACGACTGGAGTTTACTCCTTAAGTTCGATAGTCTAACCAGACGCAAAGAGTTTATTTAACTTAAAAAAGATTGATATTGTATGAAAGGGTAAATTAACAAATTAATGAAAATAATATACATATATAAATATACATTTATTCATTTCATATACATTTATTATAACTAATCGACGAAATATTTTACATTAAACTTTTTACAATAGTCAATTTCAGATGTGCATAAATATTTCATTAGGAATGTTGATAAATTATGTAATTATTATTATCTGACTATTATCATTTTTTTAAATATTAATTAAATCAACATTGTCTGCATTATTAATTACAGTGATAAGTGGTTTATGGTAACTAAATTAAGACACATGGACGTTCGTAGATACGTGGTTCACGAATCTTGAAAATACCGCATCAATGGTCGTACCATACCTCGTTGTCCCCATTGCTCTATCAGAAACAATATCTAAATTCAGTTCAGATTTTAAAAATTTTTATAATGTCAATCCGTCATCTTTGTTTGTCAAAGTTGCGCGACATAGGATGCGCACCAAAAACGTAACGAGGTCATTCATCGATAGATTTTACTCCTCACATTTTTCTCATACCGGGCCCCTTATATATGCAAATCGATTCTTAAGGAGTAAACTCCAATAAATCAAATAAATATTTCCTGCACTCACACCAATGTGAGATTATTAATTAATGAATACATTTTTAAATAACACATACATACAATGTTGTTTTTGAATGTTATGTAATTATGTATTTGGTGTTATAATCAAATGTTAATCTATCTACAATAACATTTTTATTTTATACTAGTGGCCCGCTTTCGCTTCGCTTCGGTGTAGAGCTGTAGTGTAGGTAGACTATAGTTTTCGTTCTCAGGCTTGTATTATACACAATGAATTTCTTTATATAATTATTTTTCTCACCTTTTAAACCTTCTCTAGACCTCCAAAAACATTTCAAGACCAAGATAAGAAAAAACCGTTCAGCCGTTCTCGAGTTTTAGCGAAACTAACGAACAGTAATAGGGTATTTAACAGTATTAAAAATAAAGTGCCAATTGTTAGCATCTGTGTTTAAATTTATATTGGCAGGGGTTTTTACTATTTATAATGAGGTTTTATAAACTAAATAGATTTAATTACGAAATAAAACAATTGTGTTGCTCAGAAATGAGAAACAACATTTATAGCTATTATTTCGTACAATTTTTCGTGCACAAATATTATATTTTATTTATTAATTGACGGATGTCAAAACCATATCTTTTTCTATGGTCACTCACTATTTTACCGTCTGTATTGAATGAAGGGTAATGAACCTCATTTACATCTCCCCCCCCCCCCCCTTTAAATACAGTAGGATCTTTACTCCTGTAACACTGGAACAAGTTTTGTTATGTGATAGAGGTTTGATTCACATTTCTTGTGTCCTGTATCAACTTTGTATATAGTATTCGAAATTTTTTCTAAAACTTTAAATGGTCCAATTTTTATTTCATCCAATTTTTTCCTGTTTAATCGATTTCCGTTTTCAACATATACTAAATCTCCTATTTTTAATTCACATTTTTTTCTACCTTTGTCAAAGTGTTGTTTATTATAAGTATGTGATTTTATCGTATTTTCCAATGCAACTTTTCTGTCTTTCAACAAATCATTTAGTGTTCTTTTTTGTTTTATTTCTTCAGGTAATATATCTACATTTTCTCCTTCCAATAGATATAATGGGGAAAAACCTGTAATCGTATGCTCTGTTTCATTATATTTTTTTGTACATTCGTGAGCAATAGTAGTCCACGCCAGTTTATTGTTCTTTTCGTTTATTTTGCATCTAATTTTGTTTACTAAGGTTTGGTTTAGTCTCTCATTCAATCCATTTGAAAATGGCGCATTAACTGCGGTGAAGATAATAGTTATGTTTTCCTTATTTAAAAAATCTTTAAAGCTCTTTGAATTTATACCTGGATATTGATCTGATAGAATCATGCCAATCTTATTTCCAAACTGCGTTACCTTTTGAACTAGCTTTATAAAATCATTGGCGCTTTGAGTTTTCGATGTTAAAATATAGGCATATCTTGTGAAGTGGTCCACGAGAAGGTGCAAATATTTTTTTGTAGAACGTGTGCCACCAAATCCACCAATTGTATCAATAGATATTATTTCAAATGGGTAGGTAGCAGGACCCAAATGAGACATTAGTCCATATTTATATTTACCTCTTGTTTTATTTTTTATGCAGATTTCACATTCTTCACATATCTTCTTTATATTATAAGTCATGTTTTTCGCTGCATAAAAAGAAGTAATTTTATTTTTCAATTGTTGAATTCCAATGTGACAGTAAAGATAATGTATTTTTTTTATAAAGTCTCTACTAAATTCTTCTGTTAGTACTATCTTTGTTTTTTTCCCTGTTTTTTTATAGTAAACTGTATCTTTCAATTCAAAAGCTTTCTTATTTTGTTTTATATCTTCATTCCTTTGTTGGTCATTTTGAATCTCTTCCATTTTAATAACATTTACAAGTCTTAAATTATCGTCTTGATTTTCGTCTGACTCTAACACCGGATTTCTACTTAAGCTGTCTGCTTCAATGTTATATTTTCCTGGAGAATATATTATCTCAAAATTAAATTGTGAAAGGTAGTAAGTAAGATCTCCTATTTCGTCGTCAGTTCTAGCTTTTATATTCATTTTTTCCAAGGGCTTGTGGTCAGAAAAAACCTTAAATCTTAACCCAATCAGCCAGTGCTGCCAATATTTTATTGCTTCTTTTATTGCCAAGCACTCCAGATAGATAGCTTTTTTCTTTTTCTGTATGTTATTCAGTTTTCTTGAAAAATATGCAACAGGATTTTCCTCTCCATTGTTTTGTGGCTGTTTTAAGACAGCGCCTATACCCTGTATGCTAGCGTCCGTGTAAATATGTATGGGGAGATCTGGATCAAATATTTGTAAAATAGGTTTCTGGCAAAGTAATTCTTTAATTGTTTCAAAAGCTTCATGACATTTTTCTGACCAAACAAAATTTTGTCCTTTTCTCAATAAATTATGTAACGGGTCTAATATAATAGATAAATTTGGTACATATTTCCCATAAAAATTTATTTTTCCCAAAAACTGTCTAATGTTTTTCTGTGTTTTTGGTATTGGAAATTGTTTTATCGCAATCAAATTATCTTTTAGAGGTGTAATTGTATTATTTTGTATTATGTGTCCTAAATATTTCACAGAGTTTTGTGCAAAATTACATTTTGAAAATTTTAATCTGAAACCTTCTGCGGATATTGCTTCCAACAGTAATGATAGGTGATTAATGTGATTATTAAATGTTTCTGAAAAAATCAAAATATCATCAATGTAATTGACAGTAAAATCTGTCAATTTATGTTTTCTTATAATGCTACTCAATATTCTTTGGAAAATTGCCGGCGATGTTTTTAAGCCGAATGGTAAGCAGGTCCACTGAAAGTGTCCGTCTTGGGTAACAAATCCTGTTTTATGTCTATCTTCAATTTTTAAAGGAATAGCCCAAAATGCCGAATTTATGTCAAGGGTTGTAAAATATTTGCATCTTCTAGTCTTAACCATTAAGTCTTCAATTAGTGGAAAGGGCTGTGATTGAGGAACTACAATTTTATTAAGGTCGCGGAAATCTATACAAAGCCTTGATTTTTTTCCTTCTTCCTTTTTATAAGCCAGTGTTACTGGCGCAGCGAAAGGACTGTAAGATTCCTCAATCAAATTTCCTTCTAATAATTTCGATATCTGTTGTTCTATTTCCTTTTTATCTTGAATAGTGCACCTGTATGGTCTTTTACTGCAATATTTATCAACTAACAAATCAATGTGTGCTTCGTAGCCTTTTACAGTACCAATATCATATTTATCTTTAGCAAATAGAGATTTATATTTGTAAATTAGTTTTTCTATTTCTGCTTGATTTTCCATATTCAAATGATTTATTGAAATATTGAAATTATATTCTTCAATATGTTCATTAAAGTTTACTTTATATTTATGATTGTCTTTATTTGTAGATTCTTTTAAACTATTGATATTGTTATTTAATATACCGTCTTTCATATTTTTCTTGTTACCCGAAATTTTAGAAGTATTTTTCTTATTTATCTCATCTTTATTATATTTCAATTTCGAGTTTCGTATATTTTGAGTTACTTCTAACTCATCATTTTGAATAAGATGAAAGTTTTGTATACAATCTAAACCAATCAAGAAGTCGTAATCAAAATTTTCTTCATCCACTACAAAAACATTCATATTTTGTTCAATCTCGAAAATCTTTATCTTTATTGTAATTATTCCTTTAGTCTTTTTTACACCATTAATCGTTTTCAAGTTCGCATTTTCAAAGCTATTATTTTCACAGGTATTCTTTAATGACAACAATTTCGAGTTAATCAAAGTGACATTTGATCCTGAATCGTAAATACCCATAGTTTCTAAGGTGTCATTTAATAATACTTTGATTTTGATTAATGGTGGAATAACTAGTTTTTTGGATTAATTTCGTTTAATTCTATTTCTAATTCAGAATTATTGACATGCCTTATCTGATCCCTTTGAGGTTTATCCATACTTCGGTTTCTGAACCAACATGATAATTCACTGTGATACCGGTTGCCCCTATTTCCTTGTTCACAAATCTTACATGGTCTATCTTTTCCATCTTTATCTTTATTATCAAAACCTTTTTTGTCAATACTTTTCTTATATACCAAATGTTCTAAACTTCTAATACTACTAAATAAATCTCTTGTATCACTTAAATTGCTTCTATCAATTTTATCTGCTATAAAGTTTGGAAGTCCAATAGCAATTAGATCAATTATAGTAGGTTTGTCTATCAATTTATTAATTTCCAATAAAAGCCTTTCCTTTTTTACAGCATACTCTAAAAGGGATCCTTGTCTATATTTAAACAACATGGCATACCTGACCGGCGACCAACTTCTGTCCATGTATGTTTCACAAAAGTTTTCTTTCCACATTGACCATTTCGAATCTACTGTATATTTTATTAGCATAGAGTTATACCAGTCAAGACATGATTCATCCAAAAATAATCTCAAGGCCTCAATTTTCTTAGTATCCTCTTCTATTTCAAAACGAGTGCATTCTGTTTCAAAAGTATCCATCCATTGAGGTACATTTGAAGTTTTTCGAGTGAATTTATTTATTACAAACAGCTCCTTCAACTTGCCAATATTACTAGATTTAGGCGAAATCTTCTTCATTTCGGAAAAACTTTCAATAATCCTTGTAAAATCTTTTTCTGTAATGCCAGCCGTAGCACCCTGTGTTTCTGGGGTTAATTCTTGTAACAAATATCCTCCGAATTGCATGTTTCCATCTTCATCTATGTAGGTTTCATGAATCTCTGGAGTGATAGAGATCCAAACCTGTCTTTTTTCATGTCTCTTTTGTAGTGTAGTTTTTACTTTTTGAAAAGCTGGAGTTTTTATTACCGCATCATGCAATCTTGCCTGTTGAAAATGTTCCGGTAGTAAGAAGGTGCATTTGTTGGTGTCAGTGATTGATATTATGCAGATTGTATTGGTTTTCGGATCCTCACTTGCTTTCACTACAAACTCAAACTTTAACTTTTCCATTGTAGTAAAATAGCTGTAGAAAATGTTGTTTTATAATGAGGTTTTATAAACTAAATAGATTTAATTACGAAATAAAACAATTGTGTTGCTCAGAAATGAGAAACAACATTTATAGCTATTATTTCGTACAATTTTTCGTGCACAAATATTATATTTTATTTATTAATTGACGGATGTCAAAACCATATCTTTTTCTATGGTCACTCACTATTTTACCGTCTGTATTGAATGAAGGGTAATGAACCTCATTTACATATTTTTACAAAAAAAATATTCATAAAATTTTACTAAAAACTAACGAAAAAGTTAATAGTTTTCTTATTTATTGTCACGTAACCCAAAACGCTTGGGATTGGCGGAGCCTAAAATGACGTCACACGCAAGTAAACTTCCGGTTAAAGTGACATTACATTGTATCTTTTGACGTTTTAATTACAGTCGTGTGACGTCACACACTAGTAAGACGCCATATTGTACAGAAAAACGTTTTCGCGGCAACTTGAAATTGGAGTTTTTGATTTGGTTATTTTACTGAAATATACAACAGAATGATGAATGTCCACTTTTTACGGACTCCATAAACATTAGTCAATAACGTGAGATCGTTTTCTAAAACTTGTCAAATACCCTATTGATTTTTATATATATAGAAGATAACAACAGGTGGAGCCAATATATAAGGAGTCTGATCATATTCACATAATAGCACTCAGTAATGCTCTCAATGTAGGAGTGAAAGTAGAGTATATGGATCGCAGGAAGGGCAGTCAGGTACTTATTGGTATTTTATTATTGTCTAGCAGAAACTTTTAACTGTTACATTGAATAAAATAAAAACATAAATATTTCCAACACTCACACGCACACCAATTAGCCTAGCCCCAAAGTAAGCACTGTAGGCTTGTGTTATGAGATACTGGGATAACAGATAGAATACGTATAAATCATATCTAATATCTATATCTAAGTATATTTATATAAAAATACACATTAAACGTCCGATACTGGAGTACAAATGCTCGTATTTATCACACAAACATCTGCCCCCACCCGGAATTCGAACCCTCTCGAGTAGGCTACACCTTGAAACCTGGCGTACCTACAAACCACTCGGCCACGGAGGTCGTCGGTTGAAATCTACCCCGCCTTATTCCAAAAAATGGACTAAGATTATAGCGCAATTACATTTGATCGCTAGCCCGAATTCGGGTTAACGACTAAGTGTTGATGAACGGAGTCCAGTACACCCGGTAGCTTTCGTTTTGGTTACCGACACCGTCTTCCAGTGTAAATATTGTTTCTGGTATCCGAATTCGAGTAATGTCTTTCATGCATCTGAATACGGGACCAGGAGTAACTGAGCCATTAATCTTGGTTTTTAAATCAAAACAAAAAGAAGACAGAGACAACACTCTCGTTGTCTCTGTCTTCTTTTTAGCAAACAAAAGTGACAGTGGTGTCGATTCAGAAATTTCAGATTAGATTCTAGCATGATTCTCTAAACTTAAAACTAAATTTAACATCAATCTCTCCTTTTCATTCTGCATAGAAAATGATAAGGATACAGTGTTTTCAATTTTAAGTGGAGGCTTAGAGAATCATGTCAGTCTTGACAAAAGTATTAGTTTTAGTCCAGATCTATCTTAAGCCTACGTTTTGTAATTAGGCAGTACTAGTTCATTTGTAATGTTACAGCTTCAGTTAGTACTAAAAGTTATAGTTATTTGGTTATTTTAGTCATTCATTTGTGAATATGAATTTCTTGAAGTCCGAAGCTGAGAATAATACTTTACAGATTCATGTTATCAGCAAGATTGGTAAGGAGTTACTCCATGACCATGGCGTTTGCAAGTGGTGAAATATTGGGGTCTCGCAAAAAACAAGGTTGTAGCAATCCTGTTAATAACAAAAATTAGTGACCATGGCATTTAAAAACACTATAAAAATCTTTTATTTTAAAATTTTAACACAGCCGTAACAGTTGGTTCAATTTATCGGTTAAAGTTGGTGGGTACATTTTGTGAATTCTATCCGTTACTTTAGTGTCCGTAACAAACACAAGCCTTACATTGCCGATCCTGGGGCTAGGCTAATTGGTGTTAGTTTAAAAAAAAACTTTCCATTTACTAACCTTGACCTGCATCTTCGTAGAGTGCTGTAACAGCTGAATACATAGTTGCAGCAGTGACTGCGGTGAGCTGCCTATATTGCTGACCAACAGCACTCGCAGTAGTTGTTCCTTCTGCGTAGGATTATCCGGCAACGCATGCATCAGCGCCGAGACAGAGAACCAGTTTGACAGCGCGTCGACTAATTGACTAACCTTGCATCTTCGTAGAATGCTGCAATAGCCGAGTACACAACTGCAACAACGCCGCGGCAGATAACTAAATTGAAACCGCGTCGAATGATTGACTCACCTTGACCTGCATCTTGGTAGAACGCTGCAATAGCTGAGTACACAACTGTAACAACGCCGCGGCCGAAAACTAAATTGAAACCGCGTCGAATGATTGACTAACCTTGACCCGCATCTTGGTGGAATGCTGCAATAGCCGAGTACACAACTGCAACAACGCCGCGGCTGAAAACCAAATTGAAACCTCGTCGAATGATTGACTAACCTTGACCTGCATCTTCGTAGAATGCTGCAGCAGCTGAGTACACAGTTGCAGAAGTGACTGCGGCGAGCTGCCTATATTGCTGGCCAACAACACTCGCAGTAGTTGTTCCTTCTGCGTAGGATTGTCCGCCAACGCATGCATCAGCGCCGCGGCCGAGAACCAGTTTGACAGCGCGTCCAATAATTGACTAACCTTGACCTGCATCTTCGTAGAATGCTGCAGCAGCTGAGTACACAGCTGCAGCAGTGACTGCGGCGAGCTGCCTATATTGCTGGCCAACAACACTCGCAGTAGTTGTTCCTTCTGCGTAGGATTGTCCGCCAAAGCATGCATCAGCGCCGCGGCCGAGAACCAGTTTGACAGCGCATCCGATGAGAACAGACCGCCACATAGCAGCTGGCCGCTGGTGAGAGCGGTCGCGTCGCCGGACGACGGCAGTAGGGTTTGGACGAGACTCGCCTGCCCCGCCTCGTTGCGGTACAGGTAGCATTGGAAGCAATATAGCACGGCGCACCTACAGATGCAAAAAAATAGTTGTTTTCTATTTATCGTGAAAAAAACGATTTTTTTTCTGGACCATGTTTTTTTTTCACGGTTACAGAAAATCCCTCGAATTACACGTTTGGTTTATGTTGATTTAAAGTATTAACGCAGTTAACAGAGCGAAGAAGAAATGTTTTTATATTTATTATGCAAAAAATCTTTTTTATGAAAAAAAAAACGAATTTCGAAAAAAACTTCGTTTGTTTGGTTTTGAAATTGGTACATCACTAGGCGCATCTATGTATGCGTCGATGGGAAAAAGAAAGGCGATTGATTGATAAACAGTTTTATCTAAAGGATTATTTTAAGGACTGCTGTGTTTCAAAAAATTATTTGGGGGTTTAGTCTCAAATGTCAATCATAGTTTATGCGACTATCTTATAATAAAGGGTATTAAAACACGAATGAAGCGATCGCATGAGGCGAAGCCGCATGTTAAGATAAATACTGTTTTAATAACATTATATGAAATGAAATGTCATTTATTCAGTCTAGGCTGTTACAAGCACTTGTGAAGGTCAAGAAGCTACGTCATAAACTTACATGTTTTAAAATCTTGGGTCTGTGTAGGCAACTATTTCTGTACACATCTGTGTAAACAAAACTTGACATATTTGAAGATCACAGATGTTAAATTGCACGAGATTATCACGAAATGCGGTTTATTCAGTGTATTGGTCTACTTGATAGGGTTTATTAATTTCTTACCTCAAAGAAAAGGGCTGTTTCTCATTCACCATCGACATGAGTAATACCACGATGGCGGGCCGGGGAGGGTTCGAGGGGGCCATAACATTCCCCAGGAAGTCCTGATTAGTGACGTCACCGCGCACCGCCTCCCCGACCGTATTAATAGTTTCCGTCAGAATATCCGCCGGCACTCCGCTCGCCATCAATATGCTACACAGCGCGTCCAACAACCCAGCATACTTCATTATCTTCTGGCAGCTGGCTAACAGCTGAGCCGAGTTACTCGGCGACACTAGAGTCCTCACGATCTGCAGCATGCAGTGAACGTTGGACACTTTCTGTGGCGACCACCCCAACTCTTCCCCATCATCAGTAGCATCAAACATTGGAAGCATCTTCTGTATGTAACTACCCTCTTTGAAGAAATGAATGTTACTGCTGTTATTCTTCAAAAGATTCAACATGAGTAGCAGGCAGTCTTCCACTATGATTCCACCTTCAGAATAACCTTCCGAAGACACTATTTCAAATAGCCTATCGAATGCGTTCTCAAATGCTACTATTTTCTGTATGTTAGCATTGCCTTTCGTGAGCTTTATGAGCAGCAATAGAGTTTCGTTTCTTATGACTTCTCTCGTGTCACTTAACAAATCCATCATTTTTGACACCCCCATAGGCTTCACTAGAATTATTTCTTGAATGTCTTTAGGACGGTTTGTGAGTAAAGAAGTGAGTAGTTGAACGGCAGACAGTCGAACTCTAAAGTCATACTCATCTAGCAAGTCCAGCACGAGTTGGATGTTGTTGTGATCTTTTATGAACATTTCAGTGAACTGTTCTCCAATATTCATGGGGACATTAGGATTGTCCTCTTCTTCTTCAAATTGTGATGGTGACATGATATTGCTGAGAGTATCCAAGGCATAATTTATTGTTTCATTGTCTGCCCTATCTAGTTCTAAGACCTGGAAAGAAAGATAAAATTGTTTATTTAGTAATAATTTATTTACTTATGCTTATATGCAACAAAAAAATGAACCACAAAAAAAGACAACTTTAATTACATATCAGGCTGGAACCAATAAAATGCTTTTGTCCCAATACATTTATTTAACAGTTAAATGATTAAAAAATAAAAATATAACAACCACAGATTTTAATTTTTACAAAATATTTCATTTCTCAGGAACATTTCTTTGTTTCCAGAGCCAACATTTTTCAAAGTTTATTTTTAAAAGTTCTATGAAATGTAGACAAAATGAAAGGTGCTTAGTTCAGCTTCACTCTTACCTGTTTTAGTGTGTTCATGCCCTGAGCACCAACCTCCACCCTGTATTTGCGTGACATAGCTTTAAGAGCTCGGCAGGCATCACGACGATCTTCAAGCAATGTGGAATGTTCCACTCTTTCCACCAACCTCTCAACCTGCAACACATTTAATGGCAGGTATAAATACATAGTATAATCATATTATAAATACATATACGTAACTTTGTTACACTCTCAATCTTTACCACTTTTTCAATATAATAATATAAACAAGTATAACATTACATTTTCATAAGTTGTACCGATATTTACATTAGTATTTAATTGATTTGCTGTATTTAAATTTAATCTTTTTCAACAAGCACACAACTTATAGCTAGCAAAGCTAAAAGAGTTATCATTATTATTGTAATGTTTGATTTAATGTGCAATAACAAAATTTATGGAATCTTTAAGAAAAATCTATTTAGAGGTTTGTGTAGTACTTATTTACCCAATGAAAAAGTATACACAAATGCTTAAAATGCATATTTACTTTTTGTAATACCAACTTAATTACGATTTGAATTGAAGTCATAGTTTAACTCTATAATATTATATCTCTATATGCAATAGACGTGAAACATAAATGTGTCTATTTGAATTTTTTTACTCTCTCAATATTTAAACACAGCATTGACCATTGGCCTTGATTTTATAATCTAGAACTTTAAATAGGTCAAATATAAATACCCCCCATATCTCTTTATAGCACTAAGGCGAGGTTTTCTAAATAGATTTAGAATAATATCGAACTGCTTACAGTTTCGCCAGCTGACGGTGTCTGTCCGGGTTCTGGAGCCCCAAGGACTGTCTTTAAGCCGCTCTTTAGGAAATCCATTTTTCACGATACCCCAGAAACTATTTATATCCCGCGCAAAAGCGCTGTTAATACAAAACCATAGTTTTTATTAAGAAAATACAATTCACAAAATCGGAACCAATGTCCACCGACACGTCAAAAGAATAATTTGACACCACAGATTTGACATTTCCTTATTTTTAAGATTCTCCCTTTTTAAGGAAGGCAAAGGGAACAATGCCCATACAGCCTAGTCTTTAGTTATATAAATCTTTTTTTTTTACATTAGAATGTATATCGGTGTGACGCATTCTAATGTTTCTTGGAATTTTGGCACGAAATGTATCGAGTTGGCTTTTTCGATAAGCTTCTGTGAGGTAGTCAACACTACAATAAAGTTCACACGTCCACTTAACCGGACTAGAGTATATTTTAAAGATTCAGATGATTATAACACAAAATCACACCAATTTTATTTCACAATATCCACGATGATGAACGAATTTAAGCATAAGTAAAATAAGACGCCAACCGCACTCGATGAAATCCCGCCAAAAACTCTTGACACTTTTTCTACTTGACTTGGTTGTTAAATGTTTCATTTCGCAAGATTTTTTTCACAATATGTATTAGCATTTTTATACTCATTAGTATAAATGAATTATTAAGATTAGTAGGTTTACAGTGGTGTCGATTCTAGCATGATTCTCTAAACTTTAACATTATTCTCTCCTTTTCATTGTATAAAGAGAATGACAAGCATACACTGGTGTCGATTCTGGCATGATTCTCTAAACTTAAAACGATATTTTACATTAGTCTCTCCTTTTCATTCTGTATAGAGAATGACAAGGATACACTGTTGTCAAATTTAAGTTCAGGTTTAGGAAGCATCTAATAGTCTGCGGGTTTAGAGAATCATGCCAGAATCGACACTATTGAACATCCTAATCTACTGCTGGCACTCACAGATTACTAATGCCGGCACTTCACTAGATTTTTTTTTTATTCTTCCCAGTCGGGGGAGCGGGTGTGAAATCCTCATGGATACCCTACAGTCGGCTGCAAAGTCATATCAGACTCCTACTGACTAAAACACACCCGCAATATATGCTCATTGCCTGAAGGGCCTTACAAGTTTCATCTGAAGCGATTATCCCCTGAGAGGGGGATAGTGCAGTTCACTAGGCTATTCGTGTTTGCTATTTATTAACTACATCGTTTTGTCCTTTTCGTTCGATAAGGAAAGGATAGACTATAGTAAAAAAAATAGTAAATACACAGACAAGTAAAGTGCCGGCATAATGTGGCACGGTAGTGTTGCGTTAAAAATTGTTTTTGTTGTCAAACAAAATTGACGAGAGTTGTCATTTAGCAACTTATTAAAATTTACATTTATTTACAAAATGGCTAAGTAAATAGCCCAAGAAAATTACGAAATTATTCGATTTGAATCGTAATTAGTGGACAATTGTGGGCTGTAAATTATCAAAATGTCGACAGATTTAAATGCAAGTTTCAATGAGCAGTATATGCATATTAATTCAAAGTTAAAAAAGTAAGTCATATCAATAAGGTTTTTATTAATTATTTCTTCAGTGATAGCCAAAGATTAGTATAATGTGATAGCTCACTCGGGATTTGGCTAGTATCCATATTGCTTTATGATTTCTTACTTTTATATTTAATGCACAACTCTTAAGACTCCATTATTGAAAAAAATATTGCTTGCAGACGTTTTATGCGTAAACCAAATATAACAGAAGCTACAAACGAGTTTATAGCTCTGGCCATCCAGTGTGAACACTCGGAGCAACCTGCGTTCGCTGCGCAGTCCTATGTGGGTGCTGCCAAATGTGAAGCAGCGGCAGGAAACTACCTTGGCGAGGCTGAACATTATATCACAGCAGCCAGACACTATATGAAAGCAGAAAAGAAACTTGCTTCTCTTAAGTTTTACAGTCCTGATAGAGAAAATCTAGAGGTTTGCATGATATGTTCACAAGTTGATTTTGGATAATACATTTGAGCATATTTTAAGTTATATTTTCTTATGTTTTTATTTATTTTTAAGCATTTAACTCCTAGATGTTTAAATCTAAAGAAAAGTTATCTAGAAATTGTGGGCTACCTACAATGCGAAGAGATGGCACTGCCTTGCAGCTTAAGGCTAGCAAAACTTCGATGGGGCCCTCAGGGCTGTGGTAGCATAATTGGTCAGTGCATTCGCCCGGATTGCGAAGGGTGCGGGTTCGAGTCCTTGTCCGCTGCCTGGTCCGCGTGTTTTTTTTTCTAGATAACTTTTCTTTATTATTTCAAGTTGGCAAATGTGTGATTCCAGGCTGCTATAGGATGCTTCATGCTAGCCCTGGGAAAATATCCTCCTAAATCCCCATTATGCATTTCAATACTAATGGAGTTGGCTAATGACTTAATAGCCCTCAACCATAAGCTAGAAGCTACTTCATATTATGAGCAAGCATTAGAGATAGTCACAGATCAGACAATGAAGATCATGTGTTTAAAAAATTTACTCAATTTGCAAATTGAATCTGGTGAGATATTTTTATTTTTCTTTACAGATATTACAAAATCACGCCTTTCTTATGAATTATAATATTAATTTGGCTTCTGCATTACATTTTTACTGTCATTCTATGCCTAAATCTGTTTCCATGGTATAAAATATTACAAAAATAATGTATTAGAAAAACAACATCTGCCACACAGGCCTTCGTTATTAATGGTATGGTTGTTGGGGTCATGATCCACCATGAGGTCTCAGTGTAGATCAGTGGTTGCTAACAACTGCAGATGCAGGCAAAACCAACAGCTAAACATGCCTTTCAAAGGACAGTGTAGCATAAATTTTTGGTCACACATGGTTGTTGCAAAAGTTGCTTGATTTCCGTATTGCTAAGTACTGCTCAATCAAATTCTTACCAAAAATTGTCTATTTAAAATGGTTTGCATATTTCTCTAGCACAATTTAGATGCAAGTACATGATAGGCAAAGCCTAGCCTAATTTCCGCAAATAATGAAGATTTAGCTGTTTTTTTTTAAGGCTGGAAAAGGACCCTTCCCATATTGAAGACATCATAAGCTGATAAAAGATAATTTTCCATTACAGATAACCTGGATGTAGCTCTTGAAACTGCCAATTCAATATGTGACAGCAATATAACTATTCCTGAAGATATATTAGTCGAGTGAGATATACTTTTATTATTATTTTTATTCAATTTTACAAACAGTTACACTCATCCTGTATAAGCTGTCAACCCCACAAAGCATATGAATGCGTCTTTGCTATAAAAAATACATCTCTATAGGGGTTTTTGAGGTGGCTGATCACGAATTTGATGTCAAAAATTTTTTTTAAAAACTAAAATACAGTTAATTGGGAGAAATTAAAAAAATCTTTCATTAATATTTTTACATTATCAAACCTGTGTTAATAAATATTTATGGGTGAATTTGTTGTCAAAAATTTTTTTTCAATCAAATTCGTGATCAGCGACCTCGAAAACCCCTATAGAGATGTATTTTTTATAGCAAAGACGCATTATACCAAGTACGCGCCGTAATTTACCGAAAGTTGAAAATTCGAGTTTTTTTCAAAAAATCGCCCCGCTCACCAGAATTGACCAAATTGAGTCCAATTGCCTGCATTCGAAAGAGGGTGATTGCCGCTATCTATACTATACAGCACCCCTCGGGAAAATGAATACAACCCTAAAAATAAGAGGGTTGAATCTTGAAAATGACGCGTTTTTCACGATTTTTTCGCATTTAAACCTAAAATTCACATGTTTTTACTTGAACAAAAAATCTGAAAAAATTCAGGGGACTTCCACACATCAAACACAAATTTTTAATTCCATTTAAACCATTTAAAAATAAATTAAACTGGTTGAAAAAAATAAAAATCACAAAAAATCATATTTTTCGCCATTACTGTGTTTTCGTTTGGGGTTGTAATGTCGGTAAAAAGCTTATACTGCTTGCTTTTCGACCGTCTTCAAGATTTTTGGAACGATTTTACCAGATTCAGTGGGGGCCGCCAGACCCCCCTTAACCCACTACCCCCTTTGTGAGACTTAAATTAAATAAGCATAATAGAAGAAAAATAAATCATTTATAATTATTCAATTTTAATATTTAAAATTGATGATTAGTTTTCTTAAAAAAGAACTTTTTATTGATATAATATCTCTCTCTATTTTTCCAGAGTGCAGGTGAATAGAATATTGTTAGCTTTGCTAGTGGAACCCCTTGATGAGAATAAACCACAATCTCTAAAGCAATTGTTTGCAGACTTGTTAAGTGACAATGATTGCGAATGTGAGTATTTTAACAATCATCACCAGGAATCATCACTATGGCTGCTGCCCTAATAATAATAACAATAACTTTATTCATCATCATCAGCCTATTAATGTCCGCACTGCTGGGGCACAGGCCATCCCTATGGATGGAATAGGGACATTGGGCCATGACCCACCACGCGGGCCCAGTGCGGATTGGTGGGTGCTAACGACTGCACCAGATGCAGCCGGGACCAACGGCTTAACGTGCCTTCCGAAGCATGGAGGAGCTCGAGACAGTAAATTTTTGGTCACCCATCCAATGACCGACCACTGCGAAAGTTGCTTAACTTCAACGATCGCAGCCGAACGCGCTAACCACTTGCGCCATCGAGCTCCTCCTAATAACTTTATTGCTTAAAATAAACTGTGTACAATTTTGCTAAGACGATTGCGACGCGACACAACGGCGTATCACAAGCAGAAACGTCTGAATGTGCTTAAATGAGTTTTATTTTTTACGCCATTGCAATATGTAATTGCATTAATGCTTACGCATTAGTGGTGCGGCCGCAGCAATAAATATTATATATCTAGATTGATGTTAATCCTTTTGAATGTGATACTTTTGATAGGTAGACCTTAAAACTGAGTGCATTTGCCAGGACAGCCAACAACTCTAATAATCTAAAGAAAATATGGCTAGAAAAAATTCCACGCGGACCGAGGCAGCAGACGGGACTCGAACCCGCACCCTTCGCTATCCGGGCGAATGCACTAACCAATTATGCTACCGCGGCCCTGACGAATTCTTTTTAGCCTTTCTTAAGGTACAAGGCAGTGCCATTTCTTCGCATTGTAGATAACCAAGAAACTTATTTATTTATTTATTTTATTTATTTATTAGGACCACCAGGGAAAGTTACATTAAATCTTATTTTTAAACATTATAGTGATACATACAAAATGCAAAATTCTATTGAAGGTAGCCACATCATGCTTAAGAGACAGTACGAACGGATAAATTTTAATTAAATAAACAAACAGAAACACAAACCGAAACCACATGTAAACAATGAAGTTTATGAACTATTAGTGGCTTTGAAACTATAGATAATAGAAAACGAATATATATAATTACTCGATATAACAAATTTAACGACAAAAATAAAAATAAATGCCAACTATGAATGCCTACGCATCTCTTAATAACTCTGAAACTTTAGTCCTGAATCGTAGAAAAGAGTCATGGAAGATATCAACACTCTCACTTAGCTTGTTGTAAGCTTCGGGCAAGCGATATGATGCAGAGTGTGTTAATATATTTGTGCGAGCGATTGGTTTGCTGAATGTTGGCACAGGATAGCGTGGTGGTTTACGGGGAACTCTAATATTTATCTTACTGAGAAATTGTGGGCAATCAACTACATTTCTGACAACTTTAAATAAAAATGTGATGTCCAAAATATTTCTCCTAGTGAGAAGACTGTCCATATTAAAATACTGAAGTCTTTGGCTGTAGTTGGTAGATTTTGTATTCAGCCTACTACTGAATGTGAGATGTCTAGTAAAGCGTTTCTGAATGCGTTCAATACGAAGCTGATGTATACTGTACTGAGGAGACCAAATAACTGAACAGTACTCTAAGGTGCTTCTAACAAAGCTGTTATAAATCAAAACCTTTGTTGAGGGATTTCTGAATACTTTGAAATTTCTCATAATGAATCCTAGAGTTTTTGAGGCTCGAGTAATAATGTTATCTATATGTGGAGTAAATGTTAATTTAGAATCTATTATTACACCCAGATCTCGAATAGTATTTACCTCCTCTAACACAGCATCACTTACTTTATATTGTGACTCAAAATTGTGAGACTTGCGGGATAACTTTATATGATAACATTTATTAATATTGAGAGACATTTCATTTATCTTGCACCATTCCACTAAGCTATCAATGTCCGATTGTAGGAGTTTAGCGTCCTCATCACAGTGAATAACTTTTATTAGTTTGAGATCATCTGCATATAAAAAAACATCACTGTGCTTAATTACATCTACAACGTCATTAATGAAAACATTGAAAAACAATGGTCCTATATGAGAACCCTGAGGTATACCTGATGTGGATAAATATTGATCTGAACGGAAACCCTTTACAACTACGTATTGAGAACGATTAGTTAAATATGTATGCAACCACATCAATAAAGAACCGGTGAATCCATATTTTGAGAGCTTGTTCACTAATATTTTGTGACAAACCTTGTCAAATGCCTTGGAAAAGTCAGCATAGACAGCATCGCTTTGCAACTGGGAGTCCATATTGTTAACAATGAGATTAGTGAAAGCGATGAGATTTGTGCTGGTAGACCTAGATCTCAAGAATCCATGCTGGCGATCAGTAATAAGATGTTTTATTTGGGCGTAAAGATGTGGATATATTAGCGCTTCAAATATTTTTGGTATAACTGATAAGATTGAGATTGGTCTATAATTAGCAATATTGTTTTTGTCACCGCTTTTGTAAATTGGTACAACCTTAGCAATTTTCCAAGATATAGGAAACCGACCAGAACTAAGAGATTTATTGAATATTATGTACAAAGGAAGAACGAGTGAATCCGCACATCGGCGAATGAAATAAGGAGGAATGTCATCAGGACCAGGGCCCTTCGTGCAATCAAGTCTTTTTAACCGAGTGCGGATGGACTCCATTGTAAGATGTAATTTTGAGATACTGCAAGATTCTGAGTTGTTATTAGTTAGAGACTCCCTTGGGGCATCATCACTTACTTTACTTTTGTTGGAATAAACGGAACTGAAGCTTTCTGCAAAAAGATTACAGATATCAGGCCCAGCAGATGCTGTTTGATCGTTATGAATCATTTCAGTGGGATAGTGAGGACCTGACTTACTTTTGTCTTTCATATAAGTCCAAAAATATTTTGGGTTGCTGCTGATGTTTAGTTCAATATTATGAATATATTTCTTATAACATCGAGTAGTCAATGCAGCACATCGTTTTCCCATTATTAACAGAGAAATGTGGTCAAGAGAATTTTTGTGGATTTTGTATTTGTTTACTAATCTACATTTATCTTTCAAAAGTTTGATAAGGGTTTTAGGGAACCAATGAGGGTATTTATTATTGCTTTTTTTGCACCGTGGAACGTATTTATTTATAATAGTATAAAGATGTTTATAAAAAACATCAAGCATTTCATCGACATTATTACAAGAGTTTAGCTCGCCGAGCCAATTAATTTTATCTAATTCGTTTGTGATTGCTGCATAATCAGCCTTATAGTAATTATGTTTTAAAGTATCGTTACTACGAAGATTATTATTCTGGTTTGAAAAACATACATCGACTGAAATTGGAGGGTGATAGGGATCAACCTTTACGAGCGCATTAGCTGAGTTATTTACGCTGATTCCGTCGTAATTACAAAAAACCAAGTCGAGCATTTTACCTTTGGAATTAGTTACACTATTGAACTGAGTGAAGTTATTAAGAGATGCAAAGTCTATCAGAGTTTGAGCAAGACTTGAGCCATTATGTTTTGGAATTGAGTCTGTCGATACACAAGGCCAGCTAATACAACTCAGGTTAAAATCACCAATAAGCATTATATTATTTATAGGATTACTATCTACAATTTTATTGAAATTATTAATGAAAGATTCAAGACTATTTCTATTGACTGGAGGTGGCAGGTAAACTGTGCAAAAGTAGTAAATCTTATTATCTAGTTTTAAACTAACCCACAGGTCTTCATTATCACTTTCAAATAATTGTAGACGATTGCCGTCGTATTTTTTGGAAATTGCTACAAGAACTCCACCGCCATTCATAATATTACCTGATCTATTAAGAGAATGCCTATCACGTCTGTATACAACATAACGGTTATCAAATAGTTCTGAGTCGTTTACAGAGTCGATCAACCAAGTCTCTGTTAATATTATTATGTCATAATTAAAACACAGTAAATTACAATAAAAAATATGAGTTTTCATGCGTAAACCTCTTACATTTTGGTAATAGATGTTTAAACTTGTGAATTTTATAACAATATTTACCAATTCTCAATACGAAATTAAAAAGACTAACACAACTAAAATATATAAAAAATAACAATTATACAATTTTTTCCAGCAATTCCATTGTTTTAATATAAATATATTCGGAGTCCTCATCTTTACGCATGAAAATTTTACCCTGTTTCACCCATACAAATCTATATCCCTTTTTCTTGGCCTTCAGACGCGCTGCAGCGTGTAGGGCTCGATTTGCAGGGGAGAGGTGTTCTGCAACATAGATTGGTTGGTTCACTCCACCGAACCCAAGATGGCTTGAATTTAACTTTTCGCTTGCGTGGTTTTTATTATAGGTAATAACAGCTGCAAGAAACTTGTCCCGAATTCGTAGTGTAGCCAATTTAAGTATAATAGATCTAGGCCTTTGGTCATTTTTGTTACTCTTGGCTATACGTGTATATTGATGTACATCGCTTTCATTTAAATCGCAAGAAATAGTTTGTGCTAGTTGTTTTATAAGGGAGGGTATGTTTTCGTTCTTGTACTCGGGGACGCATTGTATTTCTAGATTACAAGATCTGTTATGTTGTTCCATTATTTCCAACCTAGTACCGATGGATCTGACAGTCTCGATCAACTTGTTATTTTCGGTGCGTAAATATTGTATTGTTTCGGTTTTGCAAGCAAGGTCCTTTTTTATGCTGTCGTATTCTTCTGTTATAAATAAAACAGATTTTTCCAAGCAATCGATGCTCTCAGAAAACCCCTTTAACTCATGCTTCACCATGGCTCGCAAACTTTCTTCCAATTCAACTATCATAGACTTTTTAACTTTATTTAGTTCTTCTCTTATCACATCCCTTATGACATCAATTGTTAACGTGGAATCAGTCTGCGAACAGATTTCGGGCCGGTTCGGTTTATTACGAAATGTCACATTTTCAGACGCTTTCGCAGGTGTTCGTGAGTTATCACCTCCTACCTTGGCCGCCGCTTGACAATCGGGGCATGTCCAGTTCTTTTTTTGATGATTAGTAAGCTCAGAAGTTCCAGTACACAACAGATGAAATATCTTTTTACAGGCTTTGGCTGAGCAAGTTATCGATTCTGCTTTCGAAATAGGGGTACAACAGCCAGCGCAAGACATTATTTTTCTTATACTTCTATTCTGTGACATCAAAAAGCAAATCAGTGTGTTTAAATGTACACCCACAATGTATGAAATTCAATAACAGACCACAGGTGCATGCAGAAATAAAGCGTATCACTGATAATAAGTTGAGTGGAGGTCGTTCACCTCAAGGGCAAGGAGATGGCGCGTGCAACGCAACCAAGCGTCTGTTTTAACTGACCGTTGACACTTTTCACTCTATTGTATTTTAATAACCACTGAATGTATCACAAAACCGATTATCACTACACACTGTGATTGGATTACACAGATTATTTATTTATAATTCCAGCCTGAAATGTTACTTTAAATCTGTTTATTTATTTTTTAAAGCGCGAGCGTTCACTTGTGCGTTCGAGCGTTCACTTGTGCTTATATATGTACTAACTGGAATGCTTACGAAACAATATGAGAATTCAAAAAAAAAATACTGTAACTACTAACTAGTGATACATAAAGTCCATTTTTGTTTCTACCTTCATAAGGGGGAAAAATACTCCTAGCGCGACAACGACGATGGTGGAATCTGTCCCTCTCTTGCAACTGTTTGGGCACACTACTAGAACGAGACAGATTCCACATTTCAGCTATGCTCTTGGAACTATTTTGAGGGTCGCATAAGCATTCCAGTTAGTATATAAGTTCCTTGTAGATAACAGAGTCGATTCTGGCGTGATTCTCTAAACTTAACATCAATCTCTCCTTTTCACTCCTTAAATCCTGTTATCAAATTTAAGTTTAGATTTAGAGAATCGTGCCAGAATCGACACCATTGTCAAATGAATACTAATAATTTTACAAGAATTAAACATTTGAAAGAAGAAATAGCAATTATAGATATAAATTTTATTTTTTGAAGTTATACTTCTTTAGGCGCGTTATGAAAAAATGATGAGAGTGAAATTTTAAGATGCGCGCGCATAGCGACCAACTTCATGCTGTTACTTTTGTGTTTACCGCACATTAAGAAAATCTACCAACAAAATAGAAATAGAATCTCTATTTAGTGGGTGCTAACGACTGCATTGTGAAGGCCTATCAAAAGTATTTATTAATCTGGAACAACGGAACCAAAGCGCGATTCAGGAGACTACAGCGCCATCTCTTGACCATTGGTGTAGTAGAACCAAAAACCACATCTTTATTTTTTGTAATAAAGTAACAGTTATAGGTATTCATATTTATAATATTTATCCACATGTTTCTAGTTTGTATATTCGGAATACGTGTTTGAGTTTCATACAAGTGCAAATCACATATGTTCTAATAAATTATATTCAGTAGCGTTTTAATTGAATATTTTGATTATTTATTTATTTCTAAAGAAAATATAACTAGAAAAAATTCCACGCGGACCAGGCAGCAGACGGGACTCGAACCCGCACCCTTCGCAATCCGGGCGAATGCACTGACCAATTATGCTACCGCGGCCCTCACGGACCGCGTCGAAATTCTTTCTAGCTATTCTTAAGCTGCAAGGCAGCGCCATCTCTTCGCATTATAGGTAAACCCACAATGTCAAATGAATACTTTTACAAGTATTAAACATTTGAAAGAAGAAATAGCAATTATAGTTATAATTTTTATTATTTTTAAAGCATGTAACTGCTTGATGTTTAAATCTAAAGAAAATATAACTAGAAAAAATTCCACGCGGACCAGGCAGCAGACGGGACTCGAACCCGCACCCTTCGCAATCCGGGCGAATGCACTGACCAATTATGCTACCGCGGCCCTCACGGACCGCGTCGAAATTCTTTCTAGCTATTCTTAAGCTGCAAGGCAGCGCCATCTCTTCGCATTATAGGTAAACCCACAATGTCAAATGAATACTTTTACAAGTATTAAACATTTGAAAGAAGAAATAGCAATTATAGTTATAATTTTTATTATTTTTAAAGCATGTAACTGCTTGATGTTTAAATCTAAAGAAAATATAACTAGAAAAAATTCCACGCGGACCAGGCAGCAGACGGGACTCGAACCCGCACCCTTCGCAATCCGGGCGAATGCACTGACCAATTATGCTACCGCGGCCCTCACGGACCGCGTCGAAATTCTTTCTAGCTATTCTTAAGCTGCAAGGCAGCGCCATCTCTTCGCATTATAGGTAAACCCACAATGTCAAATGAATACTTTTACAAGTATTAAACATTTGAAAGAAGAAATAGCAATTATAGTTATAATTTTTATTATTTTTAAAGCATGTAACTGCTTGATGTTTAAATCTAAAGAAAATATAACTAGAAAAAATTCCACGCGGACCAGGCAGCAGACGGGACTCGAACCCGCACCCTTCGCAATCCGGGCGAATGCACTGACCAATTATGCTACCGCGGCCCTCACGGACCGCGTCGAAATTCTTTCTAGCTATTCTTAAGCTGCAAGGCAGCGCCATCTCTTCGCATTATAGGTAAACCCACAATGTCAAATGAATACTTTTACAAGTATTAAACATTTGAAAGAAGAAATAGCAATTATAGTTATAATTTTTATTATTTTTAAAGCATGTAACTGCTTGATGTTTAAATCTAAAGAAAATATAACTAGAAAAATGTTTAATACTTGTAAAAGTATTCATTTGACATTGTGGGTTTACCTATAATGCGAAGAGATGGCGCTGCCTTGCAGCTTAAGAATAGCTAGAAAGAATTTCGACGCGGTCCGTGAGGGCCGCGGTAGCATAATTGGTCAGTGCATTCGCCCGGATTGCGAAGGGTGCGGGTTCGAGTCCCGTCTGCTGCCTGGTCCGCGTGGAATTTTTTCTAGTTATATTTTCTTTAGATTTAAACATCAAGCAGTTACATGCTTTAAAAATAATAAAAATTATATTTATTTATTTTTTCAAATTAAAACTGAACTTTATTGACTTCGTCCTTTTCCAGACTTTTTATTAATTTATTGTAATTAATTATTTGCATGCAATTAAAAACTAATTTTAAACGATGCCAAAGAAGGATAACTTCTCACGCGCCTACATAAGTACACGCACCCATTTTTTAGCATGGTAACTGCTTGATGTTTAAATCTAAAGAAAAATTTACTAGAAAAAAATCCACGCTGACCAGGCAGCAGACGGGACTCGAACCCTCACCCTTCGCTATCCGGGCGAATGCACTGACCAATTATGCTACCGCGGCCCCGTAGGCCGTGTCGAATTCTTTCTAGCCTTTCTTAAGCTGCAAGGCAGCGCATTTCTTTTCCTACTAATATTTTTGACTTGAGTTGACTGCCTACTTACAGTTTTTATTACATAATTTTTTTGTCATACCTAATTTTAAAGATTCCTAATATCTTATAGAGCCAACATGACATAATATCAGCCATACCAGTCGTCCCGATTTTTAAAACAAAAATAAATGTCCCGCGCGGGACGGGCTTAATCCCGGATTTTTCGGAAAAAAAATCTTTCAAATTCCAACTAGTAAACACTAGTACCTAAAAATCTTTTCCTTTGATATTTTTTTTTTGCTCTTTTACCTTTACCTACATACAGCCTACGGTACTTTGTACATTTAACATACATGATTATTCAGGGCCAAATTTAAGGTAGAGCAGGTGGGGCTGTGGCCCAGGGGCCTCCACAACAGCTTAAGAAATAACAACATTTCGATGGGTCAACAAGCGTGCAAATCCTAAGTGGCTCGGGGCCTCCACAACAGGATAAAAGATAACAAAATTTCGATGGGTTAACAAGCATACAAATCCTAAGTGATGGCGCAAGTGGTAAGCGCGTTCGGCTGCGATCGTTGAACTTAGGCAACTTTCGCAGTGGTCGTTCATTGGATGGGTGACCAAAAATTACTATCTCGAGTTCCTCCGTGCTTCGGAAGGCACGTTAAGCCGTTGGTCCCGGCTGCATCTGCAGTCGTTAGCACCCACCAATCTGCACTGGGGCACGTAGTGGGTCATGGCCCAATCTCCCTATTCCATCCATAGGGAAGGCCCGTGCCCCGGCCTGCCAGGCTGATTCAGTATTTCAATTCCGGAGTTCTGGAACTCAAGTGTAGTCTTAAACCTCACCATGTATCACCAAGGGGAAAGGGGGGGTTAAAAAATGCCAAAAAAACATGACATGATTAATGGACGGCCCTTATTAAAATTTTTATTCTATTTCAGCAGCACCATTCTGCACAGATCTCAAGTTAAAACTACAGTCTATGATTATTTCAGTTGCAAGAGGAGATGTTTCTTCACTCATAAGGATTTCCGCTGACACAAAACATTTTCTTACGATACAACAGATTGATTTGCTAGACAAATTGAACAAAGAAATGAGACAAAAATATTTGGCTATAGCTTAAGAGATGTTTAATGATTATTGAATTTGGACGACTGTCCATCCATTCCTTAATATTTTTTGGTTCTGTAATATATTAATGTTATATAAGAATATTATAGCTATGTTTTAGTTAATAAGTTTCTTTAAGTAAAATAAATGATTTGTCTTTGTAATAAAACCTCTTATTATTATTCCTAAAGTAATAATAAAACGAGTTTGGGGTTGAAAATGGCGACATATAAAATATGTTTCATTTGGTTATTTTACAAATTCTCATACAAAACTTTTAAATGAGTCGTTTTAAAATTTAAAATCAAAATAAATTTAAATAAATAAATTAATTATTTATTAATTAATAAATAAATTAATTAAATAATTAATTAATCGTAATTAAAATCGTGGGACCACTCTGGTTGTCGGATTTAGTGCCGGTTTAGTACTGTGTTCTACCTTTATTCGATTATTTGGTAAAATAGGAGCGGAGAATTTATGAAGATTTTTTTTCAAACAGGATAAAATCAGCAAATTTAATTCGTTGGAAAAAGTATTCCTTTTGAGAGCTTCCGTTGAGTGCTCTGTTTAAACCATGGATGCACAGACCGCGGCCCGCCGGTCGAATACTGGTGGCCCGCCGACAGCAAAAATAATACTAAATATTTTTCAAATATACGATACATTTGAAAAATATTTAATCCTATGCCAGAATTAACTAAAAAAAATATGTTCGAATAGTAGATTGTATCATTAGGTAGTAAAGTAATATTTTTGCGACGAGGGCGCTTTTTTGAATCCAGAGCGAAGTGAAGGAATCTTTAGTAGAATCCTGAACGAAGCGAAGGATTCAAAGTATGTCGCGGAAGGCAAAAATAAATTTACTCCCAAGTGATACACTCTACTTTTCATCACTCTCTGTGAGAAAATAAAAGGCGCCTTAATATTTTCGTTACCAGTCTATATACGCCGTGAGGAGTGGTTTCATACGATTTGGTTTCGAAATTAAAAACAAAGCAACTGTCGCCAGGGTCGGTTCTTGGATGGGTGACCAAATGTTGACATCTCGAGTTTCCTCCGTGCTTCGGAAGGCACGATATGCCGTTGACCCGGTTGCAATTATTTTCTGGCGGCCCGCCATCAGTTTATGATTTGCCCGAGTGGCCCCTAGTCTTAATAAGTCTGTGCATCCCTGGTTTAAACGTTTATAATTTAATATATTTTAATTACATATTTATGTAGTAACGAATTGTTCCGTCTTAAAAGTTCTAACATATGTCCGTGATAGCATAATATGCAGCTATCTTTTAAGATTGATTCACTATAACCATTTCAAAATATCGCGGGTACAACCGATAGGCTCAGCTGCTTTACCATATCCATATTATTATTCTTGTGTTCTATTAGTTTTATAAATAATTTTTATGAATTAAATTAAAAGGCTATCGTTGAAGTGTTGAGCGTTTTGATTTGGTACCTGCTAAATGCACATTAAATAAAAAATCAGAAGTTGCAAATGTTTGTAAGAACTTTAGCATATAATAACGTCATGATGGAACAAGTGATTAAAGTATAGAGAATATCCCTTGATATAAATAAAGCAAATGAGAGATTTAGAAGGTGGATTAAATGTACCTACTAAATGTTTCTTTTTAATCCTATACTTCAAACGCACACAGAGGGCAAAAAGACCGCGCCGCAGGTGCCCGGCGGGCACTGGCGGCGCGGCATGTCTGCGGCTGCCCGCCGTGGATCATACAAACCAGTTTATATGCAGTAACGCAGGCGGCGGCGCGGGGCGGTCAGCTCCGTCCGCGCCACGCGCTTTTTAGTGATGGACTATTCACTAGAACGAACGTCCTGAACTGACCGCCTCTGCCCGTCGTGTGCTTCGTGTACGCGGCGCGGGCAGCCGCAGACATCGACGGGCAGACGCGGTCTTTATTGCTTCGCGGACAAAATGCCCGCTCCGCCCCGTCGTCTGCTCAACGCCTTAATAGATTTTTCTTTTATCTGTGTCAATATTTTAGTCATTGACTGATCTTTAAAATGGTGTCAATTCTGACATATTCTCTAAACCTAAACTTAAAATTTGTTAAATACAGAATGTAAAGAAGAGACTGATGTTTAATTGAATCATGCCAGAATATGCACCTTTATTGTGCTAATATGTTGATTCGCAGGTTGAATCTTGAAACAGATAAAACTTTTCTTATTTTCTGAACATTTTACAAATGATATTATAAAACTGTAAATAGGTTGAAAAGATATTAATTATGTCAAATACATATTTATTAGACACACTTTTATACACATTACAAATTAGTAGTAATAAGACATATGGATACTTATTGAAAACTATTATCACCATGATTTGTGTGTGAAATGCTTTTTCTGTCCAATTTTGTTTTGATTAACATCAGCTAAAAAACATGTCTAAGACTTTTTATCAACACTGGTACTACTTATATCTTCCCCAGTGGGGATATTACAGTTTAATTCTTTACCAAAATCAATCTTTTCTTCAATAACTTTCTCAACATTGGCATGTTGAGTATTCACTTCATTTGCAAAGTTAGAAGCCTTGTCAACCACTTTATTCTTTTGTGAGTGGGACCACATTTCTTCAAATTCATCTTCCGAATCATTTTCGTCACCACTGTGTGTTTGTTGAGTTTGCTGTATTGGATTCGTCTTTTGCCAGCAGTATTCAAATGGATAGCTTACATTCCTATTATCATCTGGAGCTATTTCAAAGCGAGTTGATAATGAATTGTAAATAGTATGAACTCCTTCTAACATATTAACATCCACTTCATCAAAACCAGTGATAGATTTGAATAAGGCATCTGCAGACATCACATCTGGAACACCTTTCTTCTCAAAGAACTGTAACAAATAATAATATTTCATTTGTAAACAAAGAATATCTCAGTTATATATATCGCACCTCCAGTGCGACACTGTCACTTATGCAAAAACTTTTTTTTTTCAGGATGAGCATTAACATCCCAAAACATACAATATTTAAAGATTTTTACGTGATGAAAAGCTTATACAGCTTAACTATTCATCTAAAAAAATTTTTTTTTTAAATATTGTATGTTTTGGGATGTTAAAGTTTTAAACGCTTCTCCTGTAAAAATGATTTTTTTGCATAAATGACAGTGTCGCACCGGGGGTGCGATATCACATGTTTATATTATTAAGTTGGTACTTTATTGAAAATATTACATCGCTATGGTGTCAAAGAATGTAATAAATACTTACATTGGTTATGTTGCGGCAATCACGCAATAAAAATTGTAATCCATTGGGATGGTCTGGCTGCACCGACTGAGAAATGTCAATGAACCAACACTTATTATCCCACCAGAGGATATTATACTCTGACAAATCAGCATGTATCATATGCCCCACATTATACATCTTGTGCATACTTTCAACAACTTCACTATATACACTCTCCCATTTCTCTGGTTTCAAGATTACATCTCTCAACTTTGGAGCCGGTTTATTGTCTTTCCCAATAAAGGACATAACGAGTACATGCTTTTTTAATATCACAACTGAGGGGCAATTCATATCAATCTTTCGCAAACGCATCATGTTATGCATCTCCTTTTCAGCCCACATGTGAACAACTTTTCTAGGGTTCTGTTTAGAAAAGCGATCTTTGAACCTGTAATCAGCTTCAATGTACTTATCACGAGTTTTGAACTCATTCAAAGTGGTTTTAAAAACCTTTATTGCACACTCCTTAGGAATAACTAAGTCAGGATAAGTTGTGTCACCATTGGCATGCAACACAACAGACTCTTTTCCCGTTGAAATTATCCCATTAATGTCTTCCAACAGACCATTGTTGATTAACTTGAATAAAATAAGCCTTGTTGCTTCATCAAGACCCATTTCAGCAGTCGCTTGACTTTCCTTCCTATCCAACATCTTATGCTTACGAACTTGATGATGCCTCGTTTGTTCTTTAAGATGATTGAACACATGGTTTGGCAAATTTATATCGAATCCCGCCCCGTCGCCAGTACAAACTTCTGGCGGGAAAGCCTCTTTCCTTACACCACAAGGATTCCTTCTACCACTTACAATGTCATGTTTCGTTACCATTTTACCATCTTTGGTGTTTGTCTCGAACCGATCCCAATCCTTTTTGTCCACATTTTCAATGTCTTCCTCTGAATCAGAATCGAATACCAAGTGTTCGGGTACATTTCGATAATTATCCAAGGATATTGATACCTTGGCAGTACCATTACGCTTTTTCTCTACTAGTTTGATTTCATCATCATATTGTTTATCAAACTGACATTGCAACACTTTTGCAATGATCGCGTCAGAGTCACAATATTCCTTCACATTTGAATCTTCAATCTGTTTCAATATTTCCGGGTTAATATCACTCTGCTGCAATGGACTTGATGTTTCTGGTTGAAAGACGCTACCGATTTGTTCAGCAAATTTTATTTCCTCTTTAATTTGAAGGCCTTTAGCATATTGTTCAGACATAATATCTGAGAGGTTCTGTACATCGGTCGGTGCAGCTACTTTTTTCCACGGGTTCGACATATCGTAAAATTTTATTTATGTACTTCTAAATATATCACAGAAATTTTCAACTAATATTTACAATATGCAATTAAATTTGCGACGTTGTTTCTTCAAACTCAACTCACTCGGGAACACTGAGTTTTTTTTGATTCACTAATTTTTTTATTTAATGTTCTCCCTTTTCAAGGAAGGCAAAGGGAACAATGCCCATACAGCCAAGTCCTAAGTTATTTTAATTTCCTTTTTTTACATTAGAATGTTGGTGTGACTCATTCTAATGTTATTTGGAATGTTTGGCACGAAATGTATCGAGTTGGCTGTTCCGATAAGCTTCTTCTGTATAGGATAAAGTTCTCACGTCCACTTGACCGGAATAGCGTATATTTTAAAGATTCCACTAATTCTTCAGTTGAGCAGACGGTTGTAACACAAAATCACACCAAATTTTTTTCACAATATCCACTATGAACGAATTTAAGAATTATTAAAATAAGACGCCAACCGCACTCAATGAAATTCCGCCAAAAACTCCCCTTCACCTTTGAATATGCTTGTTAATTTTTTTTTTAGTTCTATTCTTCTCTATTGAGAAAGGCAAAGCCATGCAGCCGTCGTCTTATTTTTGTATTATTTTCCTTTTTTTTACATTAGAATGTAATCCCGCCAAAAACTCCAGCTTCAGTCTTTAGAGCATAAACCAATAGCATATGTTTTAAGATAGAACCTCTTAATCATGTATGGTCTCCTGGTACTTTTTTGGAAAAACGATTTTATATTATGGTTTTAATATATAATTTAAAAGTAAAGGTACCTTAGAAATCCTGATGCCCTAGGAGAACGACAGGGGAGACAACATTTCGAAATTGTTTCAAAAGTGTTAGTAAACCACTTCGAACTTTGAACCGGCATCAAAGTATATTTAGGTTGTTTAAATCCTTTCGGTGCGTTAGGTCCTATTACTGGAATGTCCAGTCGATTTATTATATAGATATATTTCCCTGAGCGTCCACTTCCCCGAATGTCCACTGACCCTGAATGGCCATTTACCCGCACATCTTTTACTTACGAATGTTCTTTATGGGTTATTACAATTGTCGTTAGCTTACGGATCTAGGTTTTAAGGAAAGAGTCACATTTGTGACATTTGCCTGTACTTATATTTAACAAATCCAATCCAATAACAAAATATTGCATTACCTTAGTACTTTATTAATAAACAAAAAAAAACTCATTTGAAAGAAAGTAGTTCCACCGAACTTAATCAACATCCTAATATGTATTTAACTATGTTTTGCATTTCAACCGGAATTAAAGAATCCCTTTCAAAAAAACTGTATGGTGTCTATATACCTACTTATTTTTAGTTTTTCTCGATAGTTCTGTATTTATTAGTCAAACTAGATTATCTTGCAAGGCGCAGTTTGTTTTTTGTTATTTCTAGATTTGATTGCGTATTACCGCCCGCAAGATACAGTCCAACTTAAAACCTACACCTAAAATTAGCTTCTACAGATTAAGGCTAAGTACTTATAGGGCGTTTAGACACCTCCACCTATATAGCTCGGGCAATATCGACTTTTTGACCTTCAGGGCAGTGGACGTTTAGGGAAATAGACCTAATTAACCGATCGGACATTCAGGTAATAGGACCTAACGTGCCAAAAAGATTTAAATAATTGGCATTCGCTACTTAGAAACACAGCAGGACAGACAGAAATAGGTCTCCCTCGTGGTCCTACTAATAGGACAAATCTGTAGGACCACGAGAAAACGGCCACTTTCGCAGCCACCATCGCTCTTCTGGCTATTCCTGTCTGCCCTCTTATTTCCATTCACGTGATCCATTGCTGGTTAGAGTATATAATAGGTATAGAACCCAAATATATAAAGTTGCCCACTACCTCCAAATTCAGAGTACCAGTAAGTGTCACTGTCTTGCTTTGCTACGGTGTATCATCATTAGCTTGGCCTTGGTGTGATTGATTTTGAGATCTACCTGGAATCTCTTTCCGGGACTCGAACTCTGTGGGCCAATCGCCTAACCAGATTGCTTTGGAAAACGCTATCGCTTACGATTTCATTTTGTTATTTCTAACCGCCGAAGGTTTTCAAATACCTCACGCTCATTTTCTATAACATTGTTATTACCAATGCAAAAGAAAAAAAAAGAGCGCGAGGCATTTGAAAACCTCAGGCGGCTAGAAATAACAAAATGAAATCGTAAGCGATAGCGTTTTCCATAGCAATCCAGTTAGGCGATTGGCCCCCTGGAGCACTACCGCTGCTGCTGCGCTAATCAGTAGTTTCGATCCAACTTTCACGCTCTACCTTCATGCCTTTTTTTAGCCTTCAACTCAATACCAAAATTTATCTAAATCGGTCCAGCAATTAGTGTAAAATAAGTACCTACAATTATTTTAGATAGATCATAATGAGTATGGATTTATGATGTAAAAATATAGTAGGTATGTTAGTTTGGTTCTACCTTGTATTGCATAACTTTTAATGTTATCATCATTATCAATGCATATTATGAGCAGACGGCATCATTCTCCATTCAGCAGACATTCAAACACATATTTTAATAAGAGCATATTATCTCTATGCGTTTTAATATCCACAATAAAAAGTAGAACCATCAGATTGCATGAAATTAACAAACAAAATAGGTAGTCTTTTGGTATACAAATATTTAACTTTTCTTTGATAAATTACATCAGGTGGCTGGGGAGACCGCTACTGCTATTTCAGGTCATAATTAATACCTTAACCAGAGTATATACTTATGCCACTGTACATACCGTATCAGACATATAAAATTTGGCCAAGCCCAAACAATAATTAAAATAACAAAGAATATGCCCAGCCCTTCTAACATGACCACCGAAACGGGATATGATAAAGCAATATATCGGCATTAACTGTCAGACTACTATGGAGTTTGACAGTAGTCTGACAGTTAATGTCGATATATCGCTTTATCATATCCCGTTTCGGTGGTCATGCTAGAGGCAGATTGGGTTATGCCTAGGGCTGCCATCTCTAAAATGTGGCAACCAGGATAAGACGCGTGATAACCCCGGATTATGAAGCCCAGAACCCGGACAGACCAATAAAAAAACAGTTAAAAATGTCACAAATCAACTTTTTTATGTTGATCTAGGCAAAAAAGCTAGGGGTCTACCTCATAATAAGTGGTCACTGCTGCCCATGGACACTTGCAGCACCAAGGGCCACTCATGCATTGCCGTAAATTTTTAAACCCAGACTACAAATAAAACCCCGCCCGGACGCTCCCCGGACGCCCCGTAAACTAGGACAAATCCAGGAAACCCGGACGGATGGGAACCCTAGTTATGCCTAATGTATTTCAAGCAAAATTCTGCATGATAGTGAACAAATTGTTTGATGTGTGTGACCCATGTGATTACGAATTTCAAGTACCTATGTTAAAGATTAGTCTTAAAATGTGTTTATTAAGCATTCACAGTTGCATATTGGACAGGCCTACTGAAACGGAAAGGTCACATTAAGTTAAGTAGGTACTGATTGTCAGTCAGTCAACCCTTATGAAAACTTATGCGTTTTTTTGATTTGAGAAAATGGTAAATCTGGTAGAAATCCGAATTTTTGATTATAGGGAAAAAATGGAACTTAAAATCTTCATAAAATAGGTGATAATTCATAGAAACACATAGTTTGTGTCAGTTATTTATTAACCTAGCATTTACTTGGCAGACCTCTTGCCTCCTTTAGCACTTGCTTGCTGAGCTTTAAGTTCTTTGACAGTTTTCTGTTCTTCAATAAGGAAAGCCCTGACAATGCGCTGCTTGACACATTTATGGCAGAGTACACCTCCATACACACGCTTGACTGTTTTCTTACGGTAACAGAGGCGGGATCTCTCAGCAGGCCTGGCAGGTTCAATACCACGCAGTTTGCTTTTGCATTGTCCACATCTTGGGATCTTCTTAGGCTTTTTGACGTACTGATATACAAGCCGACCCCCAGGAGTTCGGACTCTGGAAAAGAGTTCTTAGCTGTAGTAAAAGATCTTAGGTATTAAACATTGACAGTCAAAAAACTAAATAGTAGATACCTACTAGGTGTTTATTTTTAACAAATTTGATCTCTGAAAAACTTAAACTTACAAAGAATATTTTTCTTTGCCTTTATTTTTATTTTAATGTGGTTTTATACAGATGTTCAGTCAAAAATTAGCATTGTGACATTTTACTGTTTCCGGCTTACAAAAAATTTAATTTTTTATGTAGCTTGGACATATAAACTACAACAGTATCACATTCCTATCTATTTTAAATGTCATACATATTTACAAACTTTAAAACAGTTATATTGGTTATATACTACAAACTTTTCTCATATGATTCTGTGATTACATGTTTTACCTGATGATACGAGTCTAATATAGCGACATTGGATGAAATAATTAATAAAGTATGGAAACTCGCTATTATATCTCTCCGTCATATGTGAATAAATCAATATGCAATCTTACTGAAAAAGATCTCATAATTAAAAATACGTTCTTCAAAGTAACTGGCTGGCAGTCAAATTAAGGTTATTTTTCCAACTTTATTTACAAGAAATTCTGTAGCGTTATTGTAAAAGGAAACGGAACTAAATATATATTTCATACAGAATTAATACGAAGTTTGATACGAACGCTGATATGGTTTGTACTCACATTCTCCTCTGATTTGACTTGGTATTGTATGACAATCGTCTTCTGAAAGTTAGCCGCTGAACCATTTTGGAGCTGAAATATATAAGAAATTACAGATAAAAACAATGTCCAATTCCAAATCAGCAAGTAAACTGTGTCTTTTGTGAAATATAGCAGGGATTAATTAGGATTTCTTATTTTTAAATCACAAAACACAAGATCTTCTAACCTTTTTGACAGCAGTTGACAGTAAAAGGAAAACAACCATAGACAATCTAGATATAGACAAACCAAGTGATTATTACTTTCTCTCTGGAAATTTTTTTGGCTTTAGTACACTATTCTTTGAGTATCATTGTTTTTTCACTATGCTTCTAGCATAAACGGTATAATTCTATTATTTCTATTATAAATATTCCAATAATCATAATAGAAATAATGTTTCTATTATAATTTTATTTTAATTTATTCATTTACGCAGCGCACACAACAGAAGCTCTCAAATGAAATATTATTTTCCCGTTTTCTCAATATTTTTCATCGATGCTCCGCTCCTATTAGTTGTAGCGTGATGTTGTATAACCTATAGTCTTTCTAGATAAATGCAATAACCAACACAAAAAAAAACAAATCCGCCCAATAGTTCCTCAGATAAGCGTGTTCAACCAAACAAACAGACAAACTCTTCAGCTTTATAATATCAGTTTGATTTGTTTTTCTGCCAACAGTGATATTATACGTACACTTGGCTTATATAATAAATAATATTTGTGATTAAATTTAGTATAAAATATGTAATTGTAATAATAATCTCTACATCTATAAATTTGCCATGCCCATACAGGGCTCTTGTTTGCAACGATATTTGTTACACATGTATAAAACAAGATGCATTATACGAATGTGAATATAGGCTGCAAGTAGATGTTGTTTTGCTTTGAGGTGGTAAAAATTTTTTTTATAAAATTGTTGTCTATGGTAGACACTGTTGCCAGGTAGGATTGGGGATCTTTTTCGCAATTCTGGGGAAAACATTGACTCTTGGGGAAAAAGTATCTTTGGGGAAACTGTTGGGGAAAATCAAAATATGGGGATATTTTGGGGCTAGCACTTCTAAAGAATATATGAAATGCAAACGTTGAAAGTCTTTTTGATATGAAACATCTTTCCTCTCGTTTTCATGCAATTTGTGGGAGTGATTTCGTGAAATGGGACGGAAGTGTGTAACAGATTTTGGAAAATAATGGCTTATTCCTTTTGTCAAGGGCGGATCCAGAGGGGGGGTCATGGGGGTCATGACCCCCCCTGGGCTGGGTCCATCTGTATCCACTTCACAATCTGTACCCACTGTGACTTGACCACGACTATATGACCCCCCCCTGCTGCCAAAGCTGGATCCGCCCTTGCCTTTTGTAGTATGTTTTTTTACTAATGTAAGGTGAGGTTTCAAATGTTACACCTCATACGCGTTTACTGTAAGGCTCGCTCGTTTTTTTTTGTATCTATAAAGAAAGGGAGGTTTTTTTAGAAAATGTATCATTTTGGGGAAATTTTAATATTGATTTTCGGGGAAATCTTAAAATTGCATCTGGCAGCCCTGCCGATAACTCAATATTAAAAAGGACTAGAATCCAGAGCCGTTAAACATAATAAAGAAAACTCAATATTATAAAAAAATAGCAATGGCCGCCTTAGTGCTATGTTTTTGGTGATGTTTTTGTGTGTATTTAGTGAAGGAATCTTTTCACTGCGATTATTTAGAGAATGGGTAAGTAATTATATGAGCTGTAACTGTAATTTTCATCCTAATACGACGCTAACTTTAACTTAATTATTGCTTATCTCTGTTTACTAAATTCCTACCAAATCAGTGTTTCAGTGCAATTGAAATTACTGCTTTCAGACTTGTTTTCGTTATTGATCTGTGTTATTGTAATTTTTCAATATTATAACTTTGGAAATTGACGATATATTTTGACCTGTAAAACCAGTCCTAATTCTGATCACTTTTGATGGGTAAGTAGATATTTGTTTCTACATCTTCAGCCCTGTAGTCATGAATCATTTGCGAGTGCGGACTCGAAAAAGCCTTGTACACACTACATTTTTTTCATCTGTCTTAAACACCCATCTGTATATTCTCTACTTCTGCACAAAACTCAGCGCCCCGTTTATTATAATACTCTTATTCTTAACCATTAAAACAATATTTTACAGAGCTTGCTTGAGTTGAGCTTAATTTTATTTATGTAAATATAAAAAAAAAACATTAAACTCTGACCCCCTTACTACTAAACGCGGACTAAAGTTAGTCTTGGTTAAAACAAAATTGACAGAATCAGTTTTAGTTCAGTAATAACTTTACTCTATGTTTTGTAGTAAGGCAGAATAGTTTATAATTTATCTCTTACTTCCTAGTGGCTTCACCTGACGTAAGCTTTGAAAAGATTTTTTTTTCTGTGTAAGCAATGTTTTTTTATTGATGCTCTGGTCCTATTGATTGTAGTGTGATGTTAGGTGCCTATAGCTTTCTCTGAGAAATGGACTATCAAATATAAATCATTTTTCAATTATAATCAGTAGTCCCAGTCAATATACAACGAAACAAACAGGTCTTGAGCTTTTAATGTTATTATGGATTAATTTTGTTATTGTTGCTCTACCCATATACACTAATATATAAATAACCCTGTCACATCTGTGTTGTGCTTTTAGGTCAAAGTGCTCAATGAATTATGGTTAACTTCATATTTTGTACATAAAATTTGGCTACCAAGTAGTTTTTTTCACTCTGGGATATTGATGATACAATATTTTATCACAAGTGAGTTTTATTGATAGAAATATCTAAAAGCAAAATTTTTTGATATCTACTAGCTGACCCAGCAAAGTTCGTACTGCCAATTTTTGTCTTAACTTTTATTTTTTTATATGACAATATGAAATTTCATAGAAATCGTTCAAGCCCTTTCAGAGGAGTATGGTAACTAACATTGTGATATGAGATTTTTTTATATAAGATCTATCATAAAACTTATTTCTGTTTAACTACCATTAAAATTAAAATTTATTACTTAGTATATGAACAATAGAGAAGCAAAATCACACAAACACCAGTGGTAACTTTACAGAAATGAGGATCAGTGTTTTTTTTTCACCAAAGAAACAACTCCCACGCTTTTTTCAGTTATATATTATATCTTAAAATCAACTATAAACATGGCTTACCGTCAGCGTTGCCAACTCTACGTCTTTTTACGTAGATCTACGTATTTTAGGCCTTTTCTGCAAACCTACTAACTTCAGTCCCAGAATCTACGTATTTTCTTTTAATTTGTACAAATTTGAAAAATATCATAACTCACTAGAATGAAGAAGCATATTTTCTGTTACTTTAATGGAAAACCATACAAAAGTTTATATCTTATAATTTTTGGTATGAGGAACCTAAATATATCGATTTCACTGCATAAAATTAGAAGATAGCTGTAGTAATTTAATTTGAACATTTGTTTTTAGTCTATACTTTTTAAACACTTAAAACGCTGTCCACCATGATTGTGATGTCACAAAATTTGTAAACAACTAAACGTCATTTTCTTGTTACTGTGGTTTCTTTCGTTGGACCAAAATATGTATATCTGAAAGCTCTTATATCTTGTAAAAAACGTTTCCGTTTATTGGTTTTGCTGACTAAATTAATGCTGGACGCCGGATTTGTGAAAGCAGAAATAATATCTCTTTGACTTATGTACATTCATAACCCTAAAAATTTAATTTTTAAACTTTAAATATTATTCAATGAGTACTTACAACGAAGTGATCTTTGTAAAAAGAAATGAAAAAGTGGGATATAAAGATATAAAGTTATAGGATTTAACAAGTTTTAGACATGTGTTCATGTGTAGGTATGGTTATTTCTCTAGGCAATTTAAACCACAACTTTTCTCGAGTCTTTAACGATTTATAAAACCATGATGCGAGTGTTTGTTTACAAATGTTTTGACGTCTTAGCATACATAAAGCTATAGGCTAAAATGACCAACAGCTTTTTCTATATCCATGAAAAATATATTTTAAAATGAAAGTTTTGTAGCTTACTCAAAAAAAATACAATCCATTTTTTTCGTTGTAATAGAACAATTATTAACCATTTAAAACATATTTCCAAAAAGTGTGAACTAGCCTATTTGACAACAGTGTATCCTTGTCATTTTCTATACAGAACGAAAAGCAGAGGCTGATGTTAAATTTAGTTTTAAGTTTAGAGAATCACGCCTGAATCGATACCCACCAGTGTCTATCTGATGGTAAATGTCTACCACAGCATAGTAAATGCTGCCAATGCAGCGTCTTCTCTAAAAAATCTGTGTTATATCTCCCTTTTTTAAATAAACTGTACAACAAAATACTCGTTTTATTCGGTTTCAACTATCCTAACTTCTTCATTTCACTCAGAAAAAAATACGTAGATCTACGAATTTTCATATGCAAATTTTACTAATTCAACGTAATTTTCTCATCCGACCTACGCCTTTTTCAAAATTCGAGTTGGCAACACTGCTTACCGTTAAGCCTTAATGAAGTAAACAGAGAATATATTTTATTTTTGACTTTTTAGTGCAATCAATAAAAGCGTGTTTTTAGTATTTTAAACTATTCATTTATTTTTCTCTTTTTAGTTTATTACAAAACATAGAACGAGTTTATTGACAACTGAATACGTATCCTCTCCATTTCCGATAAGGCTTCACTATTGCAAGACTTTTTTTATTACCGTGAAATAAGCGGAATATATTAAGACAAATGTAATGAGCCCAAACTAGATTTCTTTACTAGTAGGCAGTCCCAGGTCCATCAGCCTGGAAGGTGGCTGATGGACCCGGGACTCATCCATCATCAGGTCCTCGTCATCAGGTGAAATGAACAGAATGTGTTAAGTATGAGCCCAAACTCGATATGTTTACTAGTAGGCAATCCAAGGTTCCATCAGCCACCATCCAGTCCCATCATCAGACCAGCTCGATGGTACCATAATATTGTATTGTCATCTAATCTATCTATAATCGCCAAGTTTCATAATGATAAAAGAATTAAAAGTGCGTGTAATTCAGATTCTTAGATTTTGTTACATAATCACATACAAGTGGACCTAATAAAAGCTTGTTGAAAGCTTGGGGGCTTTCAACTTTTGCTTTGTAACAAAAACAAATTAAAATAATGCGGCTTATTTGTTAATTTAAACTTCATTTAAAATATTTAATTTTTTTCATTTAATCTAATATGTAAAACTATGTCATATAGTTTTTTATAATATTTTATTTATTTT